CTCACAAAAAGTCTAACTGCAGGGTAATTTTCCCTAAATGACAAAACATTGTTTACTTCATGATCTACAGTTAATATCACATTAAAACAACGAGAAATCACTGTATTTTAATACAAGAAAATGAATTACTTATTACAAGTACAATGTAAAAACCGGAGTTTTGCCTTATCATCCAAGATGATACAATAAATTATTATCGCACAAAATGCATTGCTATTTGAGCAACAGGATAAAACATGTACCTGTATGCTGTGAAATACAGTGTCAAACAATACTCTAAAACATAACTGTAGTGGACCTGACTTTAGACTCTCCAACACATTGTCCTAGAGATGTTTTCTCACATCCAGGTGGATCATTTTCTGCAATATGAAAAAAAACAACACATTATTTAATCATTTACTTCACAAATAAATTTTACACTTCTACTTCAATGAACTTGATTTTACCTGAGATCTCATCAACAAATTTTGGAGGAAAGGAATTTTCAGATTCGTCAATGGCATATACTGTCGCATTTTATCGGAATAAATAAATAAATAAATGTCCTACTGTATCATTCTGAAACGAATGGATATTTTATTTAGGTCTTATAACTGGATATTTTTTATTTGTTATAAATGTTCATATACCTAAGAATAATGCCAATCAACAGTACAAATGCATCATTTACTATCTGTGATAGACCAAGGACTTGGCGTTTCATCATCTTGTTAAAGACGTATCTCCTTCGTTGAGTTAAATTTAGATAAAATAAAAAAGGAAAAAAAAAATCAACATAGAATTTTATTTAGTCAAAGTTTAACATTAAAATTACATTTCAAGCTTATTTTATGATTTATCTGCCAACATGCAAATGTTTTAAAATGACATACTTAGACTGATCAGTTATACTTTTATTTTTTTAAAGGTCAAGAATGATTGGCTATAACTGAAATTCATTGCTCATCAATTTAATACTCTCACTTACCACTGGAAAGAAAATGCCCACTACAAACATTTTCGTCTCATCTGGGGCAAATTTCTCTACCCTGGGGCACAATATCATCCTTACAAAAAGTATACACGTTGACTTATTTGTGAAAACAAAATGAAAATGTTGAGATAGATATGGCGAATTCTTTTTGGTACAAAGTTAAACTATGCATGAAAGCTAGAACAAAATTAACCAACTTCCTTATAACTTTACATACTAATAACTTAACAAAACGCTGCTATATCTACCACAATTTATGTGACAAAATCTCATAGAAAACTTCAAGATTTAAGAAATATATAACATTATTGCAAATTAACTCAAATTTTAAAACCTCACCAAAACTGATTTTTCTCCTTTTTACTGGAAAAGAGATGAAACCAAAGAAAAAAGCACAGCTTGAGTAATTATTTTTGCAACCGACGTCACATCTTGGTAAAAGTTTATTTTTGTTCCAGAGAGACCACTGAAGAACAACAATTAATTAACACATGTTGTTATCTTATCAAACACTATTATTTGACTTTTGCATCGCTCAAACTGCGGCTTTATTTCAATTATTTGCTTTCTGCACATCGAAAGGCTCAAGTAGACCGACGAGGATAATATTTCTTAAAGGAGAAAACTAGACATTTTTATACAAGATGATCCAATAAGATGTTTCCATTTTATATAAAGTAGCGTTTTCTGCTGAAAGGATAACTTCACTCTTTTGCATAGATCTGTCTTACAGACATGCAAGTTTTGTGTAGTGTAAGTTTTTTCCTCGTACATGTATGCAATCAAATTTCGAGTACAGCTCAATACCTTATAATGGCGCTGAATCGCAATGGCTACTGAAGTTTGTAATGACAATGCTCATTATGCCATAGGGTTTCTCCTGATCGCCGTTCGACTGTTATACTTGAAAGCATTAGTAACTAGGGGATTGTCAGCATAGACACCGTCTCTTAGGTGTCGCCAAAGAGAATAAGCCTTAGGAGATAGGGCCAATGACAATGACGCCAGGGACGATGATTGATTTGAAACTAACTGAAATTGGCATTACTAGCACTGTTACAAATCAGTATCACGTTTATTAATATAGGCAAATGCAAAAGCAAACGTAAGCAGTGTTGCTTTTTCAGTAAGCAAGTACATGTAAATTTGGTGATATTATAGTTGGGAAGACTAAACTCATTCCGAAGCAGGTAAAGCTTTGGATAAAAATCATACCAAGAATCATATTTCGTTCGAATTGAGATTCACAACAGAGGGCAAAAACATTGGACGACATCTTTTCTGGATTTAGCATATGCTGAATAGTATAATAGCTATGGTGGTCATCCCAATATATATACCTCATTTGTAAGGATAACGAGACCAAAATAATGAAACTCAAGTGATTATGGAAATGTAGCAATGAAGAAGGACCCCCCCCCCCCAAAAAAAAAAAAAATCGAAATCAAAGCTATAGTTCACGTAAACAGCAAAAACTAAGTATTAAATTTTAAATTAAAATGGGAGCATCTAATGGAATTAATTTAAAGATGTAAATAACAAGTTTGTCACCTCATTGAAAACATCAACAAAACAGGAGACAGCAGGAGACCAATGCAGACATTGTTATTTCTATTCTATACTTATATGCAACCATGTCTGCTAAAGTGTTTTTTAAATAGCATGTACACTACTGCATATATTTCCACGTTTTGTACCCTAACAATCAAAGTAAATTAAATTAAAAACATCGCAATGTATTTTATTAAAAAAAGGGGTTACATCCCAGCAGGCATAGTAAGGTTAGATCAACGTTGAAAACAGGTTGATACGTTGAATTGCCGTTGATTTACCTAAATTCAACGTAAAATCAACGTTGACCCAGTCACGTCAAAACACCGTCATAATGTGACTTTGACCCAACGTTGTAGTTTGGTCATTGACTCAACGTTGTTGTTTGGTCGTCGTGAAGCAAGACATGGATTGTAATTTAAAATATTAATTATTGAAAACGTGATACTTTGTTTATCAATACTGTAATTTACTTTATCAAAATAATAAAAAAAGTGTTTTAAAGTTAAAGTGTACAGTCGTTTTGTGTCTTTATTGAACTAGTGAATTTTCTTAACTTGTTATTCATAAATACATTCCAATAAACTTCCTTGCAAGGTCAGCTAACACTAGGAAATAATCGCTGTAACTGTGACTGAGTGAAGTTAACAAAGTTGACAGTTCTCGGTACCCTGTTATAGATAGACAGGTTGAGATGAATGTGACTTTGTTATATATATATAACTTAACTTTGGAAATCCTAACTTAAAGGCCATACATATATACCCTACATATATTTAGCCATCAAACATGTCCTTCTGCTTAACACATCCAGGCTAAAAGGGTGTACCATGCTTAGGTGCAAAACAAGCTTAGGAGCTAAATGCGTTGAAAAAATCAGACAAAGCAAGCACTTGGATGTTTTTACAGTGTACGTTATAATTGTGTACCTGTGTTTTGTACCAAAAATAAAAACATTTCAGGTCATTTCAATGTCTTTTCATGCAAGAATGTTGTCTAACAACTGGGGTTGATACAATGTTGTTATTTGACGTTGATCCAACTTTCAAATCCAATGTTTATCTAACGTCTTATCAACGTTATGGTTCAACGTTGTTTCAACGTTAAAACAACATAATTTGCCCGCTGGGATGTGCTTTACTGGGTTGAACAAAATTCGAAAGGTAGGTGCGTATCTTTGCTATGGTGAAGATTAGTGCAGGTATTACGATTATTATCATTATAATAATTATTATTTGTTGATACAGAGTACAAAATTAAATGTTCAGGAGGAAATATCGGTTAAACAATATACTTGAATGAACGCATTAACTATGTGCAACATTTTTTAATCGCAGCAACTTACTTTGCATTCGTCTTTGAAAACCGGATCTTTTTTTCTCGATCAATTAAGTTTGGCACTGCAGTGTATTCATTGATATTGTTGCGTTCAAATGTACACCAGTCACAATTAAAAGGCCTACATGTACTTGTAGTGGTTGAGATCTCAAGAGAATACATGAGAGTGGGAAAAGATAAATTGGGATTTTGGCGACTTGGACTTCTGTTATGAATTAAATATAAGACCATTCTTTAACACATAGCAATCACCATTGCTGTTTAGTGTAAAATGAAAAATAAGAAATCACAACCTTATTCTATTTACAGTAAAACATTGAAGCATTTTTCTGTTCGTCTATAAACAATCAGACCTTATTCCGAAAAAATAAGACACCATTGGTTTTTAATGTTTAGGTGAAACGTTTGAGTGATCAACACTCTGCTCATACAGCAATTACAGGTATGCATTACTCAGTATACTTACTGAACAGCAGTACAGGTATATGGGACCACAAAGCTGGAGACAGCAAAGACTAGAGACAGCAAAATGACCTTCATAATTATTTTATAACTAACAGGTTTTACAAAATTGTTTTCCTAAGTTTTTGCTAACTTCTTGTCAGAAGTATAATTTGAATTATTGGGCATGTCATGAATTGGATTTTATCTCTATAAAATGGCAGCTTGCATTCTGAGACAACTATAACAAATATGCAAATATGGCAAATTGTGTTATAATAAAAGCTACATACAAATCAAAAGAATGGCAATTTATTCAGCTGTATAGATGTGCCTTTATATGACAGATCATGCGGGTAGGGACAGACAGAGAGAATGAAAACCTTAAAAACTAAGACAAATTATAAAAGAAATATAATTTTTCTATCACATAATATGCGGGGTAGTGACGCAAACAATATGAAAGTAACAGACGCCTTATATGTATAGTGAATAATCCGTGGAAGATATAATCACAAATGCTGTTAATTCATCACCTGGTGACATAACGGAAGACACCGAGACTTGAAAAAAGTAATCTTTCCGTGGATAAAAGGAACATTATTATGCACTAAGGCTTCCCAGACTATCGAATTCACGTCGCGAGTTACATATTTTCACGCAGTATAATTTGTTATACGTGTAGTTTCGCAGAATGGGGTCTTGGGTTGTGATTGTCATTTGCGCTTCTCTGGCAGTTGTAGTTCTGAAGGATGTAGAATGCCAGAACATTGTCTACATTGACAACGGAGCGTTACAGGGAGCGACAGAAACTGTACAAGGGCGCAGGGTGGATGTATTCTTAGGTATACCATTCGCCAAGCCTCCAGTAGGAGATCTCAGGTTTAGGTTACCAGAGCCTGCAGAGAACTGGGAAGGTGTTAAAGATGCCACGGCGTTTGGGCCTGCCTGCATGCAAAACTTGCCGAACCCTTTTGGCTTTCCCGATCCTGAGACGGTTAGTATGAGACACATTGTATATGTACATTAAAACTTATTAATGGCTAGTTTTTATCAAACCTTAGATACTGATGTTCAGTAAAACAATGCATTGGTGTTTTATTCAGCATAAATTCATCTTGTTTCCAGCAAACCTATATAGATTAAGTAAGAAGAAACATATGGTATACGTGAGTTCACTGAAAATAAATTACCTATAGCTGCCATGATTTACACCATCCTTGTAAGATGCAGTGAACTAAAATATCGTAATGATCTTATATATGATCGTTATGGGTTAGAAAATAACTGTTTTTTTTTCAAGTAACATCTATTGAATACATACAGCAAGTAGCAATTGAGTTGTGTTATTATAGTGTTCTTAATATATCGAATATATGAAGGTATCTGAAATGTAACGATATCCTTGAGATGCCCTCATCTAAAAGCAAAAAATTCACAGAAATTAAAATGATGGCATTTCCCCGTTAACTTCATGTGTGTGTTAATCACAAGGAGAAGCAACTACAGTATACTATGTATTTTAAATGTTATGTGTACACGATGTAACAGAACATAACATAACACATTAAAACCCTAGAGATACCGGTATGTGTACTTTGTAATCCTAAAATTCCTTTAAATTTATCTAGGCGCGAAATGCCGATTAAAAAGGTATAAAACTGATGATGAAATAGAAATAGAAAAGATGGGCCAACTTAAGTTATTGGATAATTACCAGAATTACAACATTACGTCAGTCTGGAGAATATCTTCACGAAGTCATGCACAACATAAAAAAGTTGTAAATGCTCCATTTGTTGCAAATACAACCATTTACTAAAGTTTAAATCACTACCTAATGGAGGGTATAATGAAAAAGGGGCATTTACCAAGACAGTGATTGCGTGACAGGCATGCTGCACCATCTTTTAATACCATTACTCTATTTAAACCCAAATCATATAATATACAGTAGGTATATTAGCATGAATGCTTCACTATTTTTACTAGCAATCCCAACCGTACTTTGGTATTGATCTCAAATATAATAATAATTGATAATAATTTCCAACATTCAATTTCCAAATTTCAATATCTGCTAAATATTAAAGTAAGACGGTGCAATTTTCAAATATCAAATGTTTTAATATCTGTTGAAAATTAAAGTAAAAGTGTGCAAAGGTTTTATTATATTCCCCACAATCCCACACACGTTGTATTCTATTCAAGAATTTAACCTTCTGAATTAACAGATACTTTATGACAATAATGATATTTTAGGTTCTGAGAAAAATCAGTAGTTATTTAAACTACAGGTGTATTCAAGAATTTATTTGATATTCACATTCACGTATATGATATATGATATATTATAATTTACAAATTGAATCTGACCACTGAGGCACATATACTTATTGATCTATTTATGTTAAAGAAACATTGTTTCATGTACCTGTATGTTATCTTTCTGATCTAATTGTGAAATTCATCAAAATATTAATATTTTCTCTTTATCGTGTAGATTTCGGAAGACTGCCTGACGCTCAACGTTTTTGTTCCTGGATCCACAAACAGTTCCAACAATAAGGCGGTCATGGTCTGGATATATGGCGGAGGATATATCACAGGTGGAACATCGACATATAGCTTCAAAGAATTCGGTGAGTAAATTGTCACTGAAAATATATTGTGGGGTTAAATCACAGGTGGAGCAGATACATATATATAGTTTCACAGAATTTGGTGAGTAAAAAAGGACTGAAGACAATATGTGTGTGAGCATTCATCACAGTATAGATATTCAGACATATAAAATGAAGCATCATTACAATGAATAATCCTAAAATGACTCTGATATCTTTCGAACACTTCATTTCCCCTTACTTTACTTATTTATGGAAACTACGAAAGTTATCACAAAGAGAGGAAAGTAAATAACCTTTTCTAGATCTAGACCTGACACAATTTAAACGCCCTGAGGAAAATGTCCTTGTTAAAAGCCTTAAAGGTACATATAAACCGAACATCAGTAACACATATAAACCACTTCTACTAGTTTCTTATTCAACTCAAATAAAGTCGACATGCCAAAGGATAAACTGAATAAATCACTCGATCAGCCATAAAAGAGCTTTAGGCGGCTCCTTTTTTCAAATTTTTGGTGAGAAATTTAACCTGCTTGGGTAATCTTAAACAATGTCTTTTGGCAATTCTTTTAGTTAAACTATTTAAAACTATATGCTGGCATTTGATTGGTTTTTGTGGCACAAATTGACTTCATATGCATATTTAAAATGTAAAGACAGACATTTCAATTTATTTTAATTTATTTCATGCTTAACATGAATGAGGCCAGATCACTACTTTTTACATATACTTTTAGTTCTAAACGGTGACGTCATAGTCGTATCTATGAACTACCGCCTGAATGTGTTTGGGTTTCTCAGCACTGGTGACGACAGCGTACCAGGTAATATAGGACTTTGGGACCAAATTGAGGCGCTGAATTGGATCAAGAAGAATATCCAGTACTTTGGCGGGGACCCTGGAAGGTGCGCGATCACACACAAACACACACACACACACACACACACACACAAACTGTATTTGAGAGTTCACCTGTCCATGTTTTATTTAAAAGATCATATCATTGTGACGATCCAAGCTTGTGCGCTCTTTTACTGTTATATTGTTATTGGTGTTTCACAGGGTGACGATTTTTGGCGAATCTGCAGGTGGTAGTAGTGCAACACAGCTGGCGCTGGCAAACGCTTCTTCAGGCCTCTTTCAACGTTTGATAAGTCAAAGTGGTACTACCAGCGCTTTTTGGGCAGTGTCAGAAAATGGTCCACAACTTGCTGTAAGAATGGGAAGCATTGTTGGCTGTCCAACGGCAAACACCACGGCACTTGTAGATTGTCTACGCACCATTGAGGCCGAGGCCCTTTTGAATGCTAGTGTAAAAGCCACCATAGGGCTCACGGGATATTTTTACATTCCCTCAGTTGACGGCATAATGCTTACGAAACCAATATCAGAGATGTTAAGTGATCCCGTTGTGTTGGAGCGCCTGCATTCTCTCGACTTCGTAACTGGAATTCTTAATGGAGATGGAGGAATCTTGGTTCTAAATAAGTTCTCCGACGGGATTGATCCCCTTTTGTTTCGTGACACACTGATTCCTTTTTGGACTAAGTTAGAGGTTGGCAACAACACGGATATAATCAACGCGATCACAGAATTTTACTATGACAAAACCGCCACCAAATTAGAAACTGCGCGTGATTTTGTCGACCTCGGCACTGACTTACTCTTCACTCATCCGATGTTTAAATTTATAGAGTCTCATCTCTCCGAAGGGGGTGGCTCGACATATCTTTACTACTTTATGAGAAAGCCGCTGTATGGAAATGTTATGTTGGGTTCGCCATCTTGGTTTCAGCGAGCAAGTCACGGAGACGACCTTCATTTTATGATTGGGTCACATGAACCTTTTGTCTCCCGTGCTACTTTCACTGAGGATGAGAAGTATCTGAGTGGGATGATGATACGATATTGGGCCAACTTTGCCAAGACTGGGTAGGTAAAACTATAAAACACAGTTATATGGCGACGAAGCACTTTTTATTACATAGTTCAGATACTATGGATTACTGTTTTAAGAAATTGAGCCAACTCTGTATATATCATTCAAATATTGTAAACCACAAACAAAAACGATCGAAATCCACAATTAACCATAAAGCAGATACTATTTGTTTTGATCCCGTGTATATAAATGGTATGGTGTTTTAGGTATATGATGATGTAAACTGATCAAAAAGCTTTAACTAAAACGTGCGGGAAGCTCCCTTGATTTTTTCTACGCCAAAGATAATTAATTTGATATAACAAGTGCAACGGAAACCAAATTCAATATTTAGGAACCAAATGTATATTAGACCATGTGTTTTTGTCAAGTTACATGCATTTAGCGTCTGTTTTCTATTGTGGCCAAGTGCAGTTTTATTGGCTTTAAGGTGTTGTCATTTGAATAAATTATGTAATAGAGACTTATTTGATTTCAAACTACTCTGAGGCCATTCTCTACGAATTACACTTACTACATGTAGTAGCGGATAATATGTTCCGATAATTTTTAAGCGGTCCATATTATAACTTATGGTTTGTTTCAGAAATCCAAACATGCCAGAGCCTGTTCCAGCAATATGGGAGGAATACACTGTGAATAAAGAGCACTACCTCGAATTTGGTGACGTCATAGTGGGAAAGAGGAGAGTCATTCCAAAACGGGTCAAGTTTTGGATGAAAACCGTACCAAGAATTCTTGCTCGTTCAAATTAAGTTTCAAAGCATTGGGAAAAAACATTGGACGGCATTTTTTTCGGGATTTGGCATATGTTGAATAGTATATTATATTTGGTGGTTAACACAGTACATATATACATAAATTGTTAGCAGTGACTTATTCTAAGGCATTTGTATGTGATGGAGATATTATTTGGAGTTATTCAGTTCCATTGTGGTGTTTTGGGTTTAAATGGAATTTTTGATTTTACAGTATATAACCACGGATTGCTATGTGGTTTTGTGGAACAGCATTATCATGAAATAAATGGATCAAATAGTCGTAGAAAAGGTAGTATGGATAAAGCTATGCAGTATTTCCATTGCTATTGTTGGGTTCAGGTGTACAGCAGTCACAATACTTGTGGTGGTTGACATCTCTAGAAAATATGTGAGAGTGGGAAATAAAAAATATGGTAACTGGGACTTCTGCTGTAAATTAAATCTAAGGCCATCCTTTTACACAGAACAAACGCCATTGATGTTTAATGTCAAGTGAAAAGTATTTTCTCTTCAGTTTAAGAAATCACAGCCTTTTTCTATAATCAGTATTTTTCTGTTCGTCTATGAAAATCAGACTTTATTCCAACAAAATTAGACACCATTGGTTTTTAATGTTAAGGGGAAACGTTTGAGTGATCAATACTCTACTCATACAGCAAATACCCATTATTCAGTATACATGTACGTACTGAACAAGAGTGCACGTATGTACAGATTAGGCCCATATTTCACACAGACCACGAATCCCACGAATCGCCAGGAATTGACAAATTTCAGGATTCTGAGGATTCGTGAGATTTTGCCAATTTTCTGGTCTAATTCGACACGCCCACGATTCAGTTACGATACAGGTGCGATAGTGTTACGAATATTCGTGGGATTCGGCTGGAATCGTGAGATTTTGCCAATTTTCTGGTCTAATTCGACACGGTCTACGATTCAGTTACGATACAGGTGCGATAGTGTTACGAATATTCGTGAGATTCGGCTGGAATCGCACGAATATTGACCAGAAATTAACTACGAGTTTTTGGAATCGGGAGTTCGTGACCAAAACTTTGAACAGCTCAAAATTTTTGCCACGAATTCCCGATTGATCAAGAATTGCAAGAACTGACTACGATTATATACGAATCTGTTAAGAACTTCACGAACTGATTACGATTCAACCACGAATCGTGAAATTTGTCAACTCATGGCCATTCGTGGGATTCGTTGTCTGTGTGAAATAAGGGCATTACAGATTAATCAGACCTTTAGCTTAAAATAATACCCACCCGGAATTATTGTCCATAAGTAGTTAGGGTTGTATTTGATACCGCTAAACTCAAATCTGTCGTTCATCAAAAACACCTTCAGATATCATATATATATATATATATATCCACAATACTGGAGACAGCAAAAGGCTCGCTCGAGACAAAGACACGTGTACACGATTGGTTTGCTGAAAATGACACCAGCATCACTCAATTACTAAAAATAAAAAGAAATGTTGTCTATGTGGCTTGGCAAAGAGACCTTCATAATCATTTGATAACAAACAGGTTTTACAGAATTGTTTTCCTAAGTTATCCCTAACTTCTTTTGAGAAGCATAAGTTGAATTACAGGGCATTGGATGAATTGGATTATTCATTTTATCTGCGACATATGGCAACTAGCATTCTGAGATAACTATAACAAATATGCAAAAATATGGCAAATTGTGATATAAAAAGACTATTTGCATATTAAAAGAATAACAATTTTTCCAGCTGTATAGGAGTACATTAATATGACAGACAATGCGGGCAGAGAGAGAGAATGAAAAACGTAAAAACTGTGACAAATCTAAAAGAAATATATATTTTCTATGTATCACATACTATGCGGGATAGTGACTCAAAAAGTATGAAAGTGATGACATTCGCCTTATATGTGGTGGATAATGTGTGGATGACATAATCACAATTGCTGTTAATTCACCACCTGGTGAAATAACGGAAGACACCGGAACCTGAAAAAATTAATCTTTCCGTGGATAAAAGGAACATTATTATGCACTAAGACTCCCCAGACTACCGAATTAACGTCGCGATCAGGTTACATATTTTCACGCAGTATAATTTGTTGTACGTGTAGTTTTGCAGAATGGAGTCTTGGGTTGTGATTGTCATTTGCACCTCTCTGGCAGTTGTTACTATGGAGGGTGTAAAATGCCAGAACATTGTGTACACTGACAACGGAGCGTTACAGGGAGCGACAGAAACTGTACAAGGGCGCAGAGTGGATGTATTCTTAGGTATACCATTCGCCAAGCCTCCAGTGGGAGATCTCAGGTTTAGGTTACCAGAGCCTGCAGAGAACTGGGAAGGTGTTAAAGATGCCACGGCCTTTGGACCTGCTTGCATGCAAATTGGACCAAATCCTTATGGCTTTCCAGACGTTAAGACGGTAAGTTTTAGGCACAAGGAATATATGTCGTAAAAATAATCAATGGCTAATTTTCCTATGAAACCACAGACAGATGTTAAATAAAGCAGTGCTTTAGCGTTTTATTCATCATAAAAGTACATCTCGTTTTCAGCAAATTTAATAAAATAAGTAAAGAGAAACATATGGTATGCTTGTTGACTGAAAACAAAAAGTTATGACCTAGCTATTATGGTTCACGCCAAGCCCATGTTCTAAGTATGATGTAATTTTTGTTCAGTCAAGAGCCTAATATTGAGATACTTTTTACCTCCAATATTTTGATGTCTAGCAGAACATCTTCATCAGGGAATGAGGCTACCCAGGTGAAATGATGGCACCAACCTCCCTTTCCTACGGCAATATGTGTGTGTGTGTGAAGGGGGGGGGGGAGGTTGTAAGTATATCTCTTGAATAGGGGCTACTCACCTGGATAGCCTCGTTCCCTGATGAAGATGTTCTGCTAGACATCGAAATATTGGAGGTAAAAAGTATCTCAATATTAGCTGTTGACTGAAGAAAAATTACATCATTCTTATAACATAACACAGCTGATGAAATTCTTTTCTAAAGCCCATGTTTCTTTTAAGTTGCAAGACAAACGTCGCAGTGATACGATATGATGGATATCGCAACATCGTCGCCATTGGGTGGGAGGGTATCGCCGTACTTCACTTCTGTGTTCTTGTATAAGTTTTGAAATCATTCACTTATGAACACTAAACGTACCCTCCCAATTGTTAGACAGCTCTTGTTTAAAATTAAATATTTTAAACATAATTCAGTTATATTTTTATCATTTTTACCAGGGATGCTAACAAATATAAAACAATCCGACTCATGGGTTTGATAATTACTCTTCCTGCCTTTCCATGTAACATGTATCTAATACATTCTGCAGGTACCAGTAGTCACTTGGAGTTTCCTGCTATAGGTGATCTAAATATATCGAATGTATGCATTTATCTGGGTAGCTAGTAATAATATACTCGGTATGCCTAATGTAAAAGCAACAAACTTTTTATTCACGCACAGAAAAACAAGAAACAAAAACCAAATCATAATATTTTCCCGCGAGTTTTATGTGTGTGTAAGTCATATATAGAGACAACTACATCCTTTTAAATGTTATCTGTGTTCATGATGTAGCATTTTGTGTGCTTTGTAATCCGATCACGGGTTTTTAAAATTTATCAAGTGCCGTAATGGCGAATAAAAAATGTGCTATACTGAAGATGAAATGGTAATAGGAACAGACGGTTCCACATTAGTTCTTGGATAATTACCAGAACTACGACATTAGGTATAGTCAAGAATTTATGTACAGTATAAAAAGCAGATTCGAATGTGCCGTTTGTTACAGCCAAACATTTAAAAATTCATGGATTTAAAGGTTTAAAAGGATTTATTCTATGCCTCATATGCCTCATATGTTATTAAAGAATTTAATCTTATGAATTAAAAACGCTCAGTTCAAATGATTAATAGCTACGAAAACATCAACATGATACTATGCTCATTCCTATATATTTAATTCATACAGCTTATTTTCTTATAAATAAAAGATATAACTAACCATTCTTTTTATCATCAAACCCTGTTGTTCAAATTAAAAAGCAATCCAATAACGACAAGGAAGAAATAAAGGTTCTAAGAAAAATCAGTTGTTAACTTTATTATTCGATACGTAATTTAATGCAAGTGAAATTAATAATCAAAATAGTGCACAGTGTCAGAGATTTAATTGACTTTAAACCATTTGACACATTTGTGTTATAAAAACATAATTTCAGTATATATTTCGGATCTTATTGTGAAATTTACCAAAATAATGTAATATTACGATTTATTATCCAAAATCTCCACTCTTCATCATGTAGATTTCGGAAGATTGCCTGACACTGAACGTTTTTGTTCCTGGATCCACAAACAGTTCCAACAATAAGGCGGTCATGGTCTGGATACACGGTGGGGGGTATACCACAGGTGGAACAGCCATATACAGTTTCAAAGAATTCGGTTAGTAAATTGGCACTGTGGACTTTAAAATAACAAATACGTCAACCTTCAAATTGGATGACAGTCATCTCACAATAACATTGCAATAGATTCTATAATCGTCATGTATTCTTGGAAAACACAAAAATGGCAGCTGAATTGAAAATGGAGCTTTCAATCTTCGTTTGCGTTTACTAATTTTTATATTAAATGAGTGCATTAATAAAATATAAATACAAATTATTAATTCACTTAATATATTTTGGTTTGTAAACTGAAGTATTCAAAATAGTATGAAGAATAAGTCTAAAATAACTCTGACGAATAACTAATTTCTTTAGAAAATTTTATTTGGTAATGGAAACTACCTAATATAACCTTAAAATCTTAATCCCTTCAAAATATAACGATAGTTCCCTTGCTTAAAGCTATAAACCCATGGGTAACATTACTTCATTACTTTCACTTTTATCAGGACCATCATTAATGAGCAAGACCGCATCCTTATTCTATTTCCTATTTTCAGCGGTGACAGGTGACGTCATTGTGGTGTCTATGAACTACCGTCTGAATGTGTTTGGGTTTCTCAGCATTGGTGACGACAGCGTACCAGGTAATATAGGACTGTGGGACCAAATTGAGGCGCTGAGATGGATCAAGAAGAATATCCAGTACTTTGGAGGGGATAGTGGGAGGTATATATACGCCGGTACAGAGTGCACGCATAAATAACGCAAATTATGAACTAATTATATTATGAATTAATAATTACCAGCTTAGTTGTGTCAGTTACTTAATAAGTATTGTTATATTGGGAAAATGAATTAAGCCGTGATATTGGTATGTATTTTTTAATAAAAGTATTTTAAATTAATTTCTTTCAAGCAACTACGATGGGCTTTCAGAGTACATTGGTAGCACAGTTCTTTCTTGTAGCACTGTTTTCCAGTATTTCTATTTTTTCAGTATTTCTTTCACATCTACTGTTCAATTGTCATTGGTGTTTTACAGGGTGACGATTTTTGGCGAATCAGCAGGTGGCAGTAGCGTGGTACAGCTGGCCCTGGCGAACGCTTCTTCAGGCCTCTTCCAACGCTTCATTAGGCAAAGCGGTATCACGAACAGCAAGGTTTGGGTAGCGTCAAAAAATGCCCCAGAAATCGCTGTGAGAACAGGAAACATGGTTGGATGTCCAACGAAAAGCACCATGGTACTAGTAGACTGTCTACGCACCACAGACGCCGAGACACTCTTGGATTCCATTGTGGGACTTTCAAGCGCGTTCTTTCTACCTTCAATCGATGGTGTCTTGCTTACTAAACCAATATCAGACATGTTAAAGGATCCTAGCGTATTGCAGCGTCTCCGTTCTTTCGACGTCATGACTGGATTTCTTGATGGAGACGGAGGCGTCTTTCTTTTAAATAAGTTCCTCGACGGAATTGATCCCTTTTTCGTCCGTGACACTCTGATTCCTTACTGGACAAACTCATTGCTCAACACCAGCTGTACGGAAATTATCAAGGCAATCACGGAATTATATTACGACAAAAACGCTACAAAATTAGGAACTGTTCGTGATTATATTGATCTGCTTACAGACATTGTTTTCACAAAATCGATGTTTGAAATAATTACGCCACATCTCTCTCAAGAAGGTCGGTCGACCTATCTCTATTACTTCACGAGAAAGCCGTTGTATGGAAATGTCATGATTGGTTCACAATCTTGGTTTCAGCGAGCAAATCACGGAGACGACCTTCATTTTATGATTGGTTCACACGAACCTTTCGTCCCCGGTGCCACTTTCACGGACGACGAGAAGTATTTGTCTAAAATGATGATGCGATATTGGTCCAACTTTGCCAAGACTGGGTAAGGTAACCTTCATTGTTTATTTTGATAACATGATTATATAGATGGGGCAATTTATAAGATCAAATCTATGACATTCTGTTTAATGGCTGTATCACCTTTGATTACTCTTTAATTAGAGAATGACATGAATGGTCACTATAATATAAAACTGCAAAAATAATGGGACAGGCCACAATTAAAACTGTGCAAATACCGGTATTACCCGGTATATGTACACAATTGGGTATCATCGACGTAACTCAAATAAAAAATAATTTCTTTTGATTGACCCAGATTTGCATTGTTTCAGAAATCCAAAAATGCCAGAGTCTGTCCCAGCAATATGGGAGGAATACACTGCGAATGAAAAGCACTACCTCGAGTTTGGTTACGACATAGTGGGGAAGAGGAGTGTCATTCCGGAACGGGTCAAATTTTGGACGAAGACCATTCCAAGAATCCTTACTCGTTGCAATTAAGTTTTAAATCAACAGGTTTTTGGATAAAACCTTAGAAAAGCTTAGAAAATTTCTTTTTGCTTATTGAAATATGTGATTATATTGTTTAGATAATAGAACAAATAAGCCAGTCTGACGTTTATGACAAGCTTAAAGTATTCTTTAAATACGTATCAAAATACGTGCTATGAAGGAGCTTTTACTGGAGACATTCCGTTTCATTGTAACATTATTTTTAGGGGAAACCCGATTATAAGTAGTCTACAGTCTCTGCTGAGGTCATTGCCTCAGATCCTTCCATATCTTTGAAGAATTTTAGAAGTAAAACGAACCTCTTTTTCACAACAATTCTGTCAGGTGCTTTATTCATATAAGATATCACAGTGCTAAACATTTCCCACCAATTTCTTTCCATAAACCACAGATGTCGCCACCTACCCGTCTCTAAACAAAGGTTACACATAATACATGTACATAGCGAGTGGATATAAATATTGCTTGATTAAAATAATACCAATTACTTTCTTTAAATGAATATCATTGACATTCAATACAGAGAAAGTTAAAACAGACCAAAACTCGTAACTCTCAGGGAGCCAACGCCTTTAATACAAGCAATTATCCTCCAGGATACCTGTGGATTATCTTCCAAGAGGACGTCTTTAAATAGTCACCAAAAATTCAACTCCGGATTATTTATTTACATCTTAAAATCTCCACTTTTCCGCATTTTTGCCGTAAATATGAGAATTTCAAATGCTTGTAAAAATGGATTATGCATTTTCTCCGTAGTATGATAAATCTATTCCTGCATCTTTGGTTTTTCTGGTATAAACTATCTGCACTGTTGAATATACTAGGTATTCTCACCGCCATATAGTACGCCCAACACCTAATACATATACAAATCCTTGTTACAAGGCTTTGTTAATAGAAATAATTGCTTTTAAATATGCAATAAGAAAATAAACTATGAATAATATCAACAATTGTACACTGACCTAAAGTGACACGATGTACTTTACATCATTATATCTATCCTTTAATATAAAACCACGTGCATTTGTGTAAACATACATCTTATAAACATAAACGTAGCACAGAAAGATAAAATTAATACATCATTTAAAACGTTAGTAAACCTATTCTTTTTTACTCGTTCTTGCATCTCTCGAGAAGATACATAAGAGAGGAAAATAAAATGTAACAAAAATATAATATATGTTAAATAATAAAGATAGATTAAAGTAATTCGTTAAACAGTAACCGTTCATTTTATTGACATATGTTGCCCGTCTATATGAATTAAAGCTAAGTAGCCATTATACAAGCGCCCCAAGAATTTGATACCTTTACTCAGACTAACGTATAAATAACGAGGTTAAACGCCACACGGATGATAAGCTGCATGTTGATGACGTAATTTCAATCCTCATTAAGTCAAAGCATCTTGTTAATGAGATGAAGCACAATATATGTTCGTACATATACCCTGTATGTTGCGATGCACGGATAAAAACATACAGTAAAATACTTCTAATTCATAAATATGATATGGTAAAACTAGGCATTTTGCACATAAAAATGATTTTAACAATACTAATGATAACAGTACAATATAACTTAATGTGATACCGTTATATATAGATGTATATATGAGGACTTTCTAGCCGTCCACTGCCGGTGTAACGAAACTGTGGGTCCGTGTAACAGAAAGTCTGCCATCCATTTAGTTATAATGGTTAGGGTTAGCCTGACCTAACTGGGTTAAAATCTAGGGCGATCAGGCTCACCTGTACAAGTGAATAGGAAGCGGACTCTCTGTCACGTGACATCGGATCGTGGCGACTACGGATGCCGCACCATCAAGTTTTGTGTTCTTGACGCTGTCCCTGTGGCTGGTACTCCAACCGTCTCATATTCCGCTAAAGCAAACACAAAAATTGCTGTGATCAGAGACATAACAATAGACAACACGATAAACCTCTCTGTTCGCTTGGCAAACCTTCGAGCTTTGTCCAAGTCACCGTTTAATATGCCATCGTGAAACGCCTTTGCTGTTTTCCTCGAATAACACAAGGCTGGTATACCCAGTGGGAAAAAGAGAAAAATACTTATTATTGAGAACATCTTTAAAAACTTCAGATCTTTTTCTTTGAGAGGTCTGTCTTGAAGATCTTGGGAAAGGTCCTCTCTAAGTTCTGGAGTCGTGTGTATCACTTTACGGCCATCTGGGCGCGTCTCTACCATGTCTCTTGTCATTGTGACCTCCTCTTCTCCGCCCTCTAGAGAACATACCGCCACCGCTGACGACGATGCCGGCGTATTGTTAGGGTCCGAAAATCTTACTGTCCCATTTGTCGAAGTTGACGTCTGACTTTCGATTTGCAAGGTTGGATTCACTTGACTGACATCTGTGGCCGTGTCGTGGGCGTGGCCATTGCTGATCGCCCCGCCCACAACTTCATCGGTGACGGCAGGTTCCTCTGCATGGTAGACCAGTTCAAGGTCATCGCTTTCCGGTTCCAGCATACTGAAAATATAAAAATAAGGAGGTTAATTGCTAATTGCCGCTTTATATGTGACATGACGTAAGATGCACTTCTGGTACTGTGCCTTTACAAAATCACCATTCGGGAACGCATCCGAGCTAAAATGGGAAGAAGATAATTACTGTTACGTAAATTACATTCATATTTTATGAAAGGTATATCCAATGCAGATATGGACTGACATTTGAGTCATCTACCTACCTACTTATTCAATATAAGAAACCGATCAGTTACGAACATGTATTTGATGTCTATGACAGATCCTGTAATATATAGCATTGACCAACCTTACGTTATTTCTGTTATCTAGTGTCTATCTAATGTGAGTTTACATGTTTCAATAGGAAGGTCGATAACAATGACTATGTTGACGGCTGCCAAATGGAATCTGGAAGGTAGCGAGCTCGATCGACACGTTATCTACCGGTAAAACACACCCAAACGAAACGAGTTTTCTCATCCAAAATACCTGCTAGTATTCAGAGGCCACGATCTCAGCTTTCCCGTTTGTCGTTTGTCCTTGTATCAGTCAAATGCATATCAACTTCTGTTGTAATAGGCGGTTTACTAATGAGCTTTCTGTAATCACTCTATTCCAAAAATACTCTACAGTCAATGACATTCTATATAATCAAGGCACAGCTCAGACACGAAAGTGGAGGACAACCAGACAGACGTCCATATATTTGAAAACATTGTTTGAATGAAAAAACAGTATGAAGTTTCGGTGAATTTTTGTGACTTGATTAAAACGAATATTATGAAAAGGAAAATTTACCGCTCGTACGTGCAGTGCATGACCACGAACAAGTGCAGTTAGGGAAACCTGTAGTTATTACGTGCTGCCAGGCACGGTTCATTCTACCGTCATCATCAACTTATTAAGTACTAAGAATAGCAATCTCATCAGGCGAACAGGGTTTCCAACAAAGGAAATAGAGAAAATGTGACATTTTATGTGCAAAATCACATCATAAGCATGCATATGTGGTGGTCAATTTCCATCATAAAGTCCAAATTGCCATTTCCTTCGCGATTATCAAGCCAACTGAATATCGAATGGAAGACCATTTGGTGCAGGTATCGACAGGGAATCTGGGAGTAACGAGTCTAATTGATTTCGTTGTAACATTTCGAATAACAACCGCGACGTTAATCAGTAATACGACTTGATTAGCACAATTTGTTTGATTTTCTAACTTAAATGTATAATTAACTAGTGACTAATGAGCACGAGCATTTTAATGCCATGGTTTCTCAAACCTCCATATCAACAGCACGAAATCAATTTCAAACGTGATGGAGCCCTAATAGCAATACTTTGAAGTAGCAACATATTAGGGAGCAACATGAAAGGGAGTTATTAGGTATAATGACAGGTGTCCCGATCGTATTTTCTTCGAAAAAAGAGAACTTTTTCTCCAACTGATGAATAATTGCTCGTCCAGTTCTTGTATTTAAATTCGATGCTTTATTCCATTTAAATTTAAAAAATTTAATTTAAAAGAGGCAGTCCTTTGCATTTCAAAAGGAAATATCGACGTAACTAGCTAGGCAGGATATGTAGACAAAAGAAATACATGTATGACTTGGGGATATTTTAAACACGGTAGGTTTAATTTTCAGAACTGCTTTTATCGCCATACTTGGTGACCGCAGTGGAAAAAAGCGAATTGTATATTTCAGGTGCCCACAGACAAATGGAATAATTATCAAATAGTAAACAGGATACAATTGACAAGAGGCATTGAAAAAACCCGATCTATCTAGTTATTATCAATAATTATAAACTTCTAAGTATTTTGCTTTTATTTTTCTTGGTAGGGCCTATAACCCAACAAGTTGGGTCAGACATTTTTGTACTGGCAGATGTCTTGTCGTCAGTGATCTATTGTCACATCTGAGAATGTCTTGTTTTCATATGAAAATCACGCACGAGAGAGAGAGAGAGAGAGAGAGAGAGAGAGAGAGTGCATTAAGTATGATGAGAACATAATATTTTTTAACGGATGACCCACTGCAAGATTTAACAAAATGTGCTTTATTACAACAACATATTATTTTAAATATTAAATCATGAAGTTTAATGACCTTCTTTATAATGCTGTCAACATAAATGTTAATATCTATAACAATGTTAAATCACCTTCGTCCCTAAGATATTAAAATAATGATTGTGCCTTTCTTGTGTCTTATTAGTGAAAAAAGCGCACATTATTTAATTCTTGATTACCGATGTCAGTACGCATACATAGATACTAAAATACTGATAAAACCATACTATATTACGTCTATATAAGAAATATAAAATATTAAAAGGACACATTCAGTGCTGCATCATTTTACCGATATATAAATAGTATAAGACAAAATATAACTTGTTCAGAATAAAAGTACCTGAAGAAAAAGAAAGATAAAGATTATCTTGCCTGTCCCCGGAGTCTTCTTAAAGCTCTATGTATTCTATTTAACATGAATACAATATGAAATCAGAGATTCGTGTCATTTACACATATGCTCATCTATTATGCTACAAAATAATAGTAACGTATATCTATTCTCGTGATATGAAATAAAAAGATTAAAAATGTGTCTTGCTAGTGACTTTTTAACAAAACTGTTGTAATGACGCATATTGGGTAGATGGGAAAACAACATTTGGGTTAAGTAATTCCTTCAGGGTGAGATTCGTTCCTTAATTTGTATCACATTTCGCGCGAGAATGCCCTCCTATCTATATGAAGAGTATTGCAGAGATTTACGTATGACATGAAAAGTAAAACCTACACCTTATGCTTAAACATTAATAAATACAAAAATTGTTATCACAAAATCTGATAAAAATACACATCTTTAAAATATTGCTTTATGCGCCTTTTGTTTAATACACGCCTGTGACAAGAATTCCAGTACGTAAAGCGTAACTGGGTCACTTCAATTCCTGTTTTATTTCCGATATTTCGTTAATTTGCCCTCTATAACACCGTCTTGGTTGGCAAGTTATGACGAGTAGGAAGCACGGGTGAAATAAAAGTTCGAAGCTCGTGGTTTGTTGTAAAATACGCCCACGGTCGGCTGACATGGATGTTTTGATAAAACCTCTCTGGCCATGAATTTTGGCAATTTCTCGTCCTGGTGTCGACTACGTGTGACATTTACATTGAACAAACACGCCTATGGAAGCCGTGAATAAGAAAGATATCTATCCTGGAAACTGCCCGTTTCCCTCGTGACAGCATTCTCTGCCAGAGAGAACGCTAACACGGCCGTGAACAGAGACAGCACTATGGATAACATTATCAAACGCTCTGTGCGTTTACAAAGTTTTCTAGCCAAGTCCAAGTTTCCCCTCTCTATCCCTGCGTCAAATTCCTGTTTTGTCTTCCTGGCGTAAATAAAAGCGGCAATTCCTGTCGGAGCAAAGAGAAATATAGACACTATTGCAAACATTCGCAGGAATTTCATATCTCTTTGTTTGAGGGGCCTCTCTTGTAACTCCAATCTCAAGTCGTCCGTGAGTCCGGGAGTTGTCCGAATCACCTTTCGGCCGTCGGTTTGAGTTTGCACGACTTCATTACTCATTGTTACTTGTTCTTCTCCCTCCGAGGAGAAACTAACTGCCACGACAGAGAGCTCCGGGGAAGCAGGTATCACTTTCCGGCCGTCTGGGCGCGTCTGTACATCCTCTCCCGACGTCTCTCGCGCCTTTTCCCCGCTCTCTGAGCTGCGTGGTTTTACTGGAGAGGAATGTTGCAGTGGTTGGATCGTTGTATCTGTGGTCTTTAATATTGCACCATTCGAATTAACATCTGTGTGTGTTTCATGGTTTCTTACTTTTTGCAGTGTTGGGTTTACAGAATTGACGTCAGTGGACGTGTCAAGGGCGTGGCCATGGTATGACAGGTCGCTGACGTCAGGCTCCTCCTCGTGATAGACCAGCTCCAAGTCTTCGCTCTCTGGACTCAACATACTGTAAAAGAAAGGTTACACAGTTTGCCGTGCAATGTTTATAGGAAAGTAACTCTCTATTCTCAAGCATAAGTAAGGATCGAGTCCCACATCTCTCGCTTTATAGAGAGCTCTGCAATAAACCGTTTTACGATATAAAATATTGCATGCTCATGATTATGTGACCACTTTCACACCTGCTAAGCTTCCAAATGACGTAACTGTGGAGCTACTTGCTGTCCAATTTACGGATCAGATGCTTCCGTTTCAGAAATTCATCAAAACCTCAAAATTACTCGCACTCTTCCGTTTCCTCTGATACGTACAGCGAATTATGTGCTGTGTATGTATGCAGACAACTGGTTTTAATGTTTTAACGGCGTTCACCTCCGTCACGATGTGCTGATATTTTGACGAATATAACGATAGCAGGCGGTCACCTGAGGTCTAGCGTGACCAAAAAGCAAAATGACTGCTCGATACGCTTAGTTCTTTAAGTAAAGTCCATCAGGATAATTGCAATGAATAAGCAATGACGGAAATATCTAATGACAGCTATGAACGTCCTTTTTTGTTTTGATCGTGCTCAAGGGAAAATTTTAAATAGTATTTCACTCGTGTTTAGTGTTCAACACTGATATTTACATTTGCCCTTTAAGTACCGCATCGATCTCATCTTTTTCCAATTATTGAAAGTGAAAGGTTATAAGTAACATGGATTTATTTTACAAGTGGAGCTATGGGGGCGATGATTAAGTCACCGAATGGAAATGTCAGTTACATCTAAACGTGCTCTGCCGCAATGTATATCTTGTTCATACATTTTAACGACATGTGTCTCTTATTTACTGCCATTAATTGTCTTACCAAACCTACTAGTATACTTTTCAGGCGCCTTTATTGTAGAAAAAGGACAAAAAGAAATATGTGCTATCTGGTAAAGCAAAAATATGCTTTGGTCTAAATAACTACCAATTTACAGATGTACCTGTCCGGTGCATTCCTGCCACACAGGTCTTTTTAGCTTAAGACAAGCTTTAAAATCATATTATCAATATTACAGGGGTATTAACACATGTAAGAGTACTTGTAGTATGACAGCTAACATGACCTATTATCAGCAGTCCCGTAGCGGGGTCGAAAAAACACCCCATTTTGCCAGGAAAAACCCCCCTCTGAGAAAAAATTATCTAGGTACACGAAGGTTTCCCGGTTAAAGGTCCACTTTTTCAAAAAAAAAAAAAACTTTTGAAATTGCTGACTACTGACCCGTATCACTTCGTGCTCTTTTTCCAGACCACACACGCAGTAAACAAAGTTGAAACTTATGGTGAACTTAAACTGGCCATTTGCCTTGCGCTTACCGGTGCATATAGGTACATGAAAGAGGCCTTCCATGAGATATCTACATGCACATACAGGGGTATATGACACCATCCGTCACAATAAGGCAATGTCATTTTTTGCAATTTCATTCTGACAAAGCACCCCCCATTCAAAGTCATAGCTAGGCGACTCGATTTTCATCACATTCACATCTGCGTGAAAAACACCCATTATCCGCTGTACAGTGTCCTTGATATGTGGCTTTAAATCAAATGTCGTGTAAGGTGAATGCACATTTACAAATAGCCTATGCTATAGTAACTAGTAGACGTACCGTATATAGTCTTTTAAAACACGCCGCTCGGCTATTTACATACATTTCCGTCTCTTAGTACATGATGCCATTAATGCAGATCTCATAAGCTGTGGATTTACACGTACTGACAACACTTATAAAAACAATTGCGAACCTGTCAATTCATACGTACAGGTACTGTACATGTAGTGGGAGGCAATTCTATTTTGGCATTATATTTATTATACTGGCCCACTGTATAGACCGATGTACAGTACTGTAGGTTACTTAATTAATAGCACATGTAGGCCTACATGTAGCACTTTTACAGTACTGGTTGTGCCTATAATTCGCGCGACAATCCGTACGCGTATACTCCATGTACGTATTTACTCTGTACTCACGCCCCCTGAGAGACAATGGGTTGTTTTGATAAACTACAAAAGCCTGTGCAGGTAGCAAACAATAGCGACGTGGACTCATACAGGGCCTAAGCGCACAGGGGGAGGAGCGCATATGTAAATTATTGTACGGGCGACCCTTGGAGTAATTAAGGAACCCGCCTCCTGTAGACTACACAGAGATACGCATAATTCTAATGCAAATAAGCAATAATGAACAAAATATGTATGCACATTCAACATACCTAGAATAGCTTAATAATGACCCAGTTTATAACTCACCTGAGCGTTCAGCAGGTAGAATAGAGGTGTTTCCCCGCAGTCTTTTGTGTCTGAACGAATTATTTTCTTCTTAAATAAAATGAATCCAGATTAATCACATTGTGAGCGTCGTTAGGACTGTCACATTTTGCTGTGGATGCCAATACAAAGCTCTACTACGTGGAGGGGACGAGTACAACTCATCCATGCAGTCAGCCGTAAGGTGAAGGTCATACAGGTGTGTATGTCAACGTTGTCACGTGACGCAGGAGACGTTCCGGTCACGTGGCCGACTCTCGGTTCACCTGTTGCATTCATTTCCTGGGTTCTTATCTAAAAGAATCCAATCGGAAAGACACTGCCTTGGTGACTTGCTTTTATATGTAGTTTGTGTCGTTAAAGAGGTGTTTTAACAAACGGCTTCTTACCGGCTTCAGTAATACGTCGGTAAAAAGGCACGCGTACGAGGGCATGCAACTGCACATTAAAACACAGGTGTCTTTTTCACTTGCAACATTTTTCCAAATATATTGAATCATCGAGATCAAGTGCATTAAGACTCTAGCACATTTGTTGGACTATAATGATATCAATTAGCTTAGTGTGGCTAAACGCAAAAAGAAGTATACCATATGCTAAAATATTAATAAACACGGACCTTAAAGCAAGGCCCTCCCAAGGCACGCTGATGATATAACTCAGGTCGATGTACTCAAGCTTAAACCAGGCATAATTCAGAGTTAATTGTGTGTTATTAAATCTCATCACATCAACCCCGTTATTTCATGCACTGATTGCTCATTTATCCCAACAATTATTCCATGATTATTATTGATTTACGAAGTGAAGTTTCAATTCATTGATGACAATCGACCATCAATATCACCATGTGGTTGCCAGTGAGGGATTGATCCAGTTTAAACAGTCGAACTTTTGAACCTCTGTTGTGTGATGCTAAGCCAGGGGTTCGTTAGGTACCGTTCGTATAGTCGGAGACCAGCTGAACGCTGAACGGCTCGGCCCTCTCTCTCTGGTAGTCCGGTCTTAGATTTGTAGAAGTAACTGTAGAGAATCGCACGATTTAAAAAAAAATTGAGCGCATTTTAGTGAGAGTGTTGAAAAAGTATTTAGGTGCCTCGCCTCTCTCAATTTGCACGTTGAACGAAGCCTGACACCGGCCTAAGAACGCTGCCTGCCAGTAACTTCAGTCGCAGTTGTTCTGTCTTAAGAAAAAAGGGGCCGCTAAGTTCAAAACGCGTCTGTGATAAAAAGTTCCACTTACTGATATTTATTTTCCGTTGAAGAAACAAGGGAAACTGTGGATCACATTTAAAATATCTGAGATGGCAGTTTTATCCCTTCTCCCTAGGAAGACAGAGTGAGTATAACGAGGTTTTTTATACTATAAATAATAATAAAACATCTGATATAAGGTTATAACTGTACATGTAAGTAGGACAGAGCGTTTTTTAAAATTATTTTTGTGCTGCGTCTAGCTGTTATCCACTTAATCAGTGACGTCGAACATAACATTTTGATTTTTGATGCGTAGACATTTTTAAATTTAAACATTTAGTTTTGGATAATCGAAATGAAGTATATTGTTGCTTTTTGTGACAGGATGGTGTTCTGGTCCCTGTATGACCTGGCGCTATCGTACTTTGCCTCAGCAGGAGCTAGAAGAATGGACACAGGACCCACTTGGAGTATGCCGCAACAGAGTGGTAAGTCTCTCTCTCTCTCTCTCTCTCTCTCCATGTCCTCTCTCTCTCTCTCTCTGTAAATATACATTTCAGACATGGGTGGGTGTAAAAAAGTAAAACGTGCATAGCAAATGTTAGAGCTTAAAGCCACACAAAGTAAGATTTAAAACGCGTTCGTCGGGCGATTCTTATTGAACTTAGCTAAGGTCAATTGAAGTATTTTTTGAAAAATAATAATTTAAAAATAACATGACAGATAAATGGGCTTTCAATTTAGCAAAAATAACCATATTCACCGTCCCCTTTTCAACATCGGTAGTCAACCATCTTGACACAGATCGAAAAAAGCGCAAGTCACGGCGCGAGAGTTTCTCGATACCTGAAAGTCGCGTCGATAGAAATGAATGGCGTGTTTGGAAAACATCCGCTCATGCGCGGGCTTAAATTTTTGGTTTTTATCAAAATTGTTACAGAGTTATGGTGAATGTCAAGGAAGAAACGTTAAAGGTTGGTAAATTAGGAGAAAATGTATTGCACCCCGGGATAATTCGTTAAATATAAATTTTGGTGCCATAACTCTCCTTTGTGTACCTTGAAGTTGTTTAGGGTAATGCGTATTAACAGACATCCACAGTTAATTAACATTGAAGTTAACAGTCTGATAAAAATCAGAAACCTGATTACGTTATATGAGACAGCAAGTCGCCCAGTCCGTGTCCAAACCGGTGGTGAATGACATTTAAGTGCTTGGTATGAGCTGATCCAGTCTTTTCCTTATGTAATCATAATTTTTAGAGTTTTTTTTAATGAACATTTTTATTTTACTTTAATCCACAGATCAAGGCGCTTTACGGTCCATAAACGGTTACCTGAAGTCCATACGCAATGACGACGCTTGGAATCGCGAGTCGGCAGGTCACAGGCAGGTGCGCTTCCGATTTGAGGTCGACGGCACGGTCTCCCTAATACCAAAGGATCAACGCTTTGACGACATACTTGCCCAACACCTCGGCAGGTTCTTAAAGTCTTTCTACCAGAGAGCAATGGAAGGGTTCCAGTACTGTTTGATAAAGCGACCAGAGCCTACGAAATGTGAGTAATAATTCTGTTTATTAATTAAAAAAAAAATTTGTCTAGAACAGTGTCGTGATCATATGAAGTCATGGACAATACTCAACCACGAAGAATGGCTCCCAGAAATAATAGGTTTTTATTTGAAACATTGTTGTTATGGAACCCCCAAGGTTTCTGACGCTTTTTGAAAAGCATGTTGGCTGATTTTATGCGTTAATTTTTCTTTTTTGGGGGAGGGGGGGGGGGCGGTGATAAAATATGGAGTTTCCTCGCATGGCGATTACATATAAATTAAATTTCTTTTTATCATTTCTCTTGAAATCTTTCAGGCCACTCTTTTTATTTATTTTTATTGTCTTTTATACGTTCTGTCTTTTTTGAAAATATTGATTTAATTTCTCCTCTTTTTAAAAATTGTTTCAAATATCATCGTCATCATTTTCATTAACGATTATGCTTTTGTGTGCATTATATTTTATTTCTCCTTCATTTTCAGTTGGAAGATACGGTCTCGGCTCATAAAAAACAGTACTAGGAATTGGCAACGCGCCAAGAACATAATCGGTAATTTCATGTAGTCACATGGTGTTTGTGGTAGCACAACCTGCGGTAGAGATGCACCGTTAGTGGCTTACTTTTTAAAACATTTCATCTCGTGCTTCTAACCCATCTCTTTTATGGCAAATATACCCTTTACCTGTAGAAATGGTGGTTTTAACAGTAGCAGCTGTACTAGTTGTATTGATTTGATGTGATGTGACATATACACGTAGTACTAATCCCAATATGAATAGTGGTAGCAGTAATAATCGACAGTTGCTACTGGTGCGCAGAAACGTTACTGGCGCACCCACTAGTAGAGGTAGTTGAAATACGTGTAGTGTGTAGTATTCTAGCAACAACAAACACCAGCGGTGGAAGTACTGTAGTAGTAGTAATAGAAGTAAATAGTAGAATTAGAAGTACTGTGTCTTTGAATATAAAGCAGTAACGTTTGTCTGTCATACCAATAATATTTGTTCTACTGGTAGCAAACACCACAACTGAGAAGACGTCCGCAGAAAAACAAATACTGCAATCATGTCGCTCGGTCAGATAACACTATTATCCTCTATCAGGGCCGCAGCTTTATTATGTGCACTTTTCTTAAACAGTCCAGAAGATTGCCATCAGTTAACCAGAGTGAATATCCGGTAAAAATCATTCTTTTGCCCTGGAAGAATGTATTACAGTAGGCCTATATTTTTTTTACTAAAGGCATTATAATCTTTAAAATGAGTGTCTTTTGGATATAACTGCAAAAGGGTCACGCATCTTATATATACGGTAAAGGGGAAGCAAAACTGACGAGCACTTTTCATCTGGAAACGACAATTCACATATACCCCCCCACCCCACCCCCGTATTCATGCTAATAACACATGCACATGCTATCACATAACCCATATATTTTATACTTTTCAGGTCTTACTCCGCAATTTTGCAAGAGGAACCCACTGTAAGGGACGCGATGGCACCCCTAAGCATGACCCACTACCCGTGAGATGTCGCTCGCCTCTCGTGACCCTTGTCTCGTGAAGATAGAAAAGATCTTTCATTAAAATAAATAGGTAATAGAAAAGTGGTGGTGTAGTTATGGGGGGAACATACGCAGTGGGAATAAATCTGTATCGAAATACACGACTCTCGTTGCTTACTTCTTGGTTTGTGAATACAAAATCGATCCTTACAGGGCTCGCGAGCCGCCAGTTGAATAGAAATAAAATTACATGAGAAAATGACTAATCTGAACCCAGCGCAGACCCCACAAAGTGGCTACCACAATATGAAGTTGTTTGTAAAAGAGGAAAGGTATATTGGTTACGTCATCAACAGACAGGACCGACAAAAACCGTAAACCGAAATAAAATTAGGCGGGTACACCCGAATCCCCCAGGGCACAGAATAAGACCACGCTCCCACCGTATAGATAACAGTGCACCTCAACATGAACCATAGCAGGTTTATAAGCAGACAGCAGGTCCACGAATTCCTCAACCGATGATTAACTGATCTGTGGAAAAAATTAGCCATACCCATCCCTACGACGGTCGATATACAGGTGCATGTACACTGTATGTCCTTACGTGACGCAGGAGACGTTCGGTCACGTGACAGACGCTCGGTTCACCTGTTGCATTCATTGCCTGGCTTCTTATATAAAATAATACAATCTGACAAACCCTATGTTGCGCTGGTCACTTGCTATTACAGGAGTTTTACAGAAAAAGCATGTTTTTAGGTAATAAAAATCAACAAACGTCTGAATTTCTGATTCACTGGCAATATCAAACATATTTGGGCATACTTGCACTCTTTAAGTAACACAGCTATTAAAAATAAAAACGTCCACACCTTAACAAGAACGACGTACGGCATGCATTAACGTTAGACAACATATATTGGTTAATATACGTAGACGAGCCTATACATCATAGAACATGTGCCTCTTAAAGTATTGTTTGTGAATTTTTTATGACATCGACAATTTATATAGTCAGACCAACTTCTCATATACGAAATACTGCAAACGTATTGACTGAGTCATTAAATATAACAACGCGATTAATTCATAATTTTATGAATTATTAATTCATAATTACATAATCAATTTCTACATTTTTGTTTCAATGTGACCAGGTTATTCAATTTTAAAATACGTTGACAAAACTTACACTTACATGTAGTTACATTTTAAAAAGCGCGTTTTTTTTTTTAATTCAACTTACAACTTTTCAAATCAAATATATTTATTATCCGGTGCATTAAGACTCAAGCACATTTGTTGGATTATTATGATATCATTTTGCTTAGTGTGACTTCAAGCGCGAAGAAATACCAGTATATACCATATCCTTAATTTAATATATGCATAGACCTCCCGAGGCACGCTGCTAATGTAACTCAGCCCAATGTACTCAAGCTAAAGCCAGGCATAATTCCGAGTTCATTGTGTGTTATTATATCTCATTACATCAACGCCTTCAATTCATACGCCAATGGCTCATTTACCCCAACATTTATTACATGATTACACGCGATGCAAGGCCTAATTCATCAATAACAATCGACCATCAATATCACCATGCCGCTGCCATTGTGGTCGCCATTGCGAGATTGATCCTGTGTAAACAGTCGAACTTTGGAACTTTTGTTGTTCGTTGCTAGGCCGAAAGGCGCGTTGGGAACCATTCATAGTCGGAGCTCAGCTGAACGCTACACGGCTGGTAGTCTGACTTTAGATTTGTAGTAGTTACAGTAGAGAATCGCACGATTTTTGTTTTTTGAGCACATTTTATTTGTGAGTGTTGAAGAACTATTTAAGCGCCTTCATCTCCCTCAATTCGCACGTCGGACGAAGCCTGACACTCTGTCGAAGAGCGCTGCCTGCCAGTGACTACGGTACAGTCCCAGTTATTTTGTGTTTAGAAATAAGGGGACGCTAAGCTCAAGACGCGTCAGTGGAGCATTTTACTGGTAAAAAAGTTCCAGTTATATATCTTCCGTTGGAGAAATAAGGGAACTTGTGGATCACACACGATGTCTCAGATGGCAGTTTTACCCCCTCCCCCAAGGAAGACAGAGTGAGTATAAAGAGATTGTTTATACTATGAATAATAACAACAAAACAAGAACAATGTAGTGAACTGTGCGTCTCAATTAGGGTATAGAAATGTGCCGTTGCTGTTTGCTCTTCTAGCATCGTGATTTAGTATTCTTGTTTATTACACTGATACAATATGTGTTTACAGCGATATATATCAAAATTTAAAAAATGAATTCTAAGATGGCATATGGATAACAATCTTCCATTAAAGTGATACAAAGGGAAAAAACTTAAAAAATATATAAATCATACTCCTATCATACTCCTTCAGGATGAAAATTGAGAAAAATGTGCCAGAAATTAAGTGAACATCGACTAAATATCAATGCTCTACTTTTACGCAAATTATTATTCTAAAAAAATTAGGACCCCTAATCAGACACCCCCAACCCCAACCACACACCCCATCCCGACCAATCGCTTTCACCCCCACACAACCCACCCCAACCCAGACACACCCTCCTGCAACCACACACCCCATCCCAACCAGACACCCCAACCCAAAACTCACCCCGGCCCCACCCCCATCCAGACACCCCCACCACCACCCTCACCCTTCAAAGCTTCACAACCCCACTCCTTAAATAACAGCCATCATCATTATTTTAGTTATATTTTTTTCTCCTAAAAATGACATTTCTCCTCCAAACCAGACCCCCCTCCCCCAACCACCACCACCAACATCGCATGATTCAAAACTTTTGTAATGCCCACTCCAATTATAACATTCATCCTCAATATATTATGTTTCCATAAAACCTCGCTCAACCCCCCCCCCTCCCAACCAGCCACCACCACCACCACCACCACCCGCAGCCGTCAACTCTTCATAATCCTCACTAATCCGTTACCTGTCTCAGAATTATCTAGGGCCAATCAAAACCCGGCAAATCGCTATACTGTTATAATCAAGGTCTGCATGCCTATACTTCATAGGCTTATTAAATCCTACAGCACGTGAAATGTCTGCTATATTAAATGGCGGCGTATAAATGAGTTATAACAAGGCTACTTAAAACACTTGATGTAAGGCAATAACTGTACAAGTACAGTAAGTAGGACAATTCCTTTTCATCATATACTGTATTTTTGTTCTGTGCATGTCTAGCATGCCTTGATTAATCACTTCGACATTCTGGCACGTCTACCTTTTTAATGTACAGATTTTGTGTTGGGCAAATTAATTGAAGCATATTGATGTTTCTGTGCCAGGATGACATTCTGGTCCCGGTATGATCCCGTGGCCGTCAGACCCAAGGGAAACACAGACCACTGGGCCAAGATGAAATTACGGGTAGGTACTACCAAACTGGCCTATATATACACCATTTACGTTATTATGAAATTGGTTTTTAAACGTTCACGCCTTCATGGTTTTCAAATACAAATCATTTTTAACACCATTCTGCAGACTTCTTGTAAAACACACATACACGCACGCACTCACGCCTGCTGTCAAGTAGGTCTACTTGAGTGAGTATACATTTGACACTTGTGTTAATCATGCTTCCCCCTATCTTAAGCAAATAAAAGCTTAACAACAAATATTGAATCGTTTATTGCATGAACTGTCCCATATTAGACTATAGGAGTGCATGAACTCCGTATATGCTTCTTTATTTACATACAACACATACAAAACTTGATTCCAGGTGAAAAATAACAGCATAGAAATTATGGTAGTATTATATTTGCATATTTTATATTCGATTTTCCAGGCGCTGTCATACTCTGCCCCAGCAGGAGTGAGGAGAATGGACATAGGACCTACTTGGAGTATGCCACAACAGAGTGGTAAGTCCTTTTCTGTCCTTCTCTCTCTCTCTCTCTCTCTCTCTCTCTGCATTAGAAGTTCGGTGCATAGATAAATAAGGGTGCTTGTGTGTATAATGGGAGTATGTGCGTATGCAAACTAAATCTACTCAGAAAAAAGTTAAAGTTTTCAGGATAACACGTGTACGCCAGCAGATAACCACAGTGACTCGGTAAACTGTCTGATAAAAATTATAGAAACTGAGTCGTGGTCAATGGGACAGCAAAGCACGCATTCCTTGACTAAAACGATGGTTAATTATGAGTATCGGATACATGCTGATCAAACCTTTTCTTCATGTTATCGTCATCATTATAATTTAGTTAACTTACTATAATTTTAATTTAGTAAACTACATGTATGTATTTTGTATAAATGTAAAAACTTTTAGTGTAGAGAGTTTGTGAATAATTTAGTGCTCAATTTAGTATTATTTTTAATAGAATTATTATTTCTACTCTTTTTTTATCATTCAAATACCAAAAATATTTTCATTTTATTTAAATCCACAGATCAAGTAACTTTAAGGTCAACAGACGATTACCTGAAGTTTATACGCAATGACGACGCTTGGAATCGCGAGTCGGCAGGTCACGGGCAGGTGCGCTTCCGATTTGAGGCCGACGGCACGGTGTCCCAAATACCAAAGGAACAGCGCTTTGACGACATACTTGCCCAACATCTCGGCGGGAACTTGCCAGGAAGCTATAACAAGGTAGGCATAACCAGACATTGACATTAGTGGCCTGTATTATGTTTAGTAATGCTACATGTGACGACCAAATTAGCCAGTTGCAACCCTACCGTACTGCCTGTCACCGTAAAACAATTTTTCTATTCAACTCAGAGTCCGTACAAATATCAAACTAACTAGGCCCCAATCTATGGGTATAATCGTCAGCCGTCTTTTTAATTACTACAATAATATTTACACCCGTGTACCTCTTTCTTTTTTCTAGCGCCCAAAAAGCCTGACATATAAAGAAAAACTACACACAACGTTCAACCAGAGAGCAAAGGAAGGGTTCCAGTACTGGTTGATAAAGAGGCCAGAGCCTACGAAATGTGAGTAATTAAACAGAATACTTTAGATTTTGTTACTGCGACAGTTGTCGTGATCAAATGTGGCCATGAACAATTCCCAACCACGAAGAGTGTTACCCAGAAATTATAGGTTACTATCTTAAATGGTGAGAAATTTCTTTTCTCTATCATTGCTTTTTTGCATGAGGTCTTTAAATACCTCCAATTTATTATTTTTAATTATTTTATTTTATTTTATTTTTCGCCTTGAAAAGATCGAATGTTGGCAGATTTTCTTTGATAATTTTTTTGGAGGGGGGGGGGGCAGTGATAAGAATATGAAGTTTCTTCGCAGGTTGAATCAATGATTTTGAATAAGTTAATTACTATTTCCACATTTCTCTTTAAGATCTTTCTGACCGCTTTTTATTTATTTTTATTACGTGTCTTTTTCAACGCTCTCTTCTGAAAATATAAATTTAATTTCACCTTTTTTCTTGAAAATTGTTTCAAATATCATCGTCATCGTTGCTATAAGCGCTTATACTCTTGTGTGCATTGTATTATGTTGGCATGTTTTTTATTTCTCCTTCATTTTCAGTTGGAAGATACGGTATCGGTTCATACAAAACAGTACTAGGAATTGGCAACGCGCCAAGAACATAATCGGTAATTTTACGTAGTCACATTGTGTTTGTGGTAGCACAATCTGCGGTAGAGATGCATCGTTAGCTGTTTACTTTTAGAAACATTTCACCTCGCCATTCTAACTCATTTCTTTTGTTGCGAATACGCCCTTTACTTCTGGAAGTGATTGTTTTATCAGTAGCAGCTGCACTTATACCATTGATGTGATGTGACAATGTACCTGTAGTAACCCCAGTAGAAATAGTGGTAGCAATAATAACCGATAGATGCCGCTGGTGTTGTTGCTGCAACAATATTGGAACACCCAATTATTGTAGTAGTAGTAGTAGTAGTAGAAGAAATAGGTGTAGTCCGAATGCTCAAGCAGCACCAGCACCAGCAGTAGAATTAATAATAGAAGTGCGTTAGTAGAGGTGCTGTGTTTTTTCATGTAAAGCAGTAGCGTATGACTTTGACGCCAATAGTTCTACTCGTAGACACCCAGGGGCGTAGCACAAACCATTACTTTTGTATACACAATTGAGAAGATTTGTATACACAATTGAGATTACAGTAAAGTTAAGACATTTAATTGTTAAAACAGGTGTCATATTTTTCAATTAAGAAAACAAAAATCTATGGATAGAAGATTCCCTTTGAACCAAATATTGTTTGCATCCATCGTTGTCAGTGTTAGACCACATTTCTATTCTACCAGATATTACTGCAGAAAGGTCCCCCATGAAATACCATGGGTGAAATACCATGGGTAAAAGTTTTCAGGATTATGCCTGATTTCAGAATTTTCGATTCACTCCTCTTTTTGACCGTTTTATTTCACATGGTCTAAATGCGACGAGAAATTGCAAGCTACGTTATCAGGATTTTCACTTTTTACAACTTTCATCCATTTATACGAAAAAGAGAAGCAAAACTGACAAATAATTTTCTTAAACGACAATTCACATGTATACACTGTATTCTCGCTAGAAAATGCACATGCCATCATGTAACCCATACATTTTATACTTTTCAGCTCTCATCCCTCCATTGGAACACTTTCGCAAAAGAAACCCACCACCAAAATCCCGGAATACTAGCATCACTAAACCAGTGGGCAGCAGCACCAGGCGGCCTAGCGTAGACCTCTCAGACCGCCCCGATTGGAGCTAATCGGGCCCGGGACATGTATAATCGTGTGGTCGAAGAAACAGATCAATGGGCTTCTAGTAGGGTTGTAACGAGACTGAGTGAGAGAAGGTGAATTTTATTTTGACTGGGAGAGGGTTGGGGGGGGGGGGGAGAAAAGGGGGAGGGGGTGTCCAAAAATATGAAAGCTAAATTGGTGTGAAAAAAAAATGTTAAAATGCTCTCTCTGCTACTCGTTCAAGCCTCTGATTCATCCCTGACACGACATTCGTCTGCTTCTTCGTTCCAAAGATAATACCTCTCCTGGACGGTCCGCCATATTAGTCAATACGCTTGGTGCTCAGATTGCTTCATTTTCAAGGACTCTGTATATAAAACAACCCTGTATAGTTTTACATTGCAAGATCGATTGCTCTGTCATTTTATATATTGCCAATATTATACTCAAGCAACTTAAAGTCTGGAAAAAATTCCGAGATAGTTCAAACGTGATTTATTCCGAAACTTCAGCATTATCAGTGAAATTATACACAACAATCAAATTGCATTGGTTCTTCGGTACAAAGCTATGATATTCTGAGAGGTAAGGGTAATATTCTGGGTGGTACTTTCGATTTTAAGTCGTCTCTATTTGATCTCATCTAAGCGTAGAGTGTGTGTTCGTTCATCATCATATTGCTCAACTTTTCTGCATGCGCAAGAAACGTGCCAACCATAATTTGATGTCATTCCCTGTATATTACCACGAATTCCCTTGTTTTCTGTGTATGTGCATTTCTGTTCTTTGCTCAATTGGATATTTCATCAAAATTTTTAATTTAGAACATAGGAATCATGCTTCTCTTGTAGGTACATATTCGTTTTATAGTGCCCGTGTTTGTATCAAACATTAATGCAGATCATTTTGCTTATTTTCAATCAAATATGGAGATGAAGTGATGAATAACATGCTGTGATCAATTAACACCTTTGCTCAATTTTATATGTAATAGTGAGTACGTTGTACTGTATCAATCCGAGTATTATTGTTCAAAGTAATTGATGACTTTACGATGTTTTTGACGTCGTTCCAAAGGCGGTCAAATCCATGTGATATTCAGTATTCATACTATATTTGTTCAAGAAACCAAATGTGCTTTTAAAAAATTCTGCTCAAATTCGCCCCGCAAAATGCGGATTATGCATCGTCGTTATGAGACTGTCTCACTTTCAAAATTCAAGGCAATGCGGGTGTTTTAAACAATTTTGGTAAAATGCTTCGTCATTGTCTCAAACGCATACAGTATTACTTGCTACGATATTTGGTGATTAACTCAAACAGCTATTGTAAACGTGAGAGAAATTTTAGAGACGCGGGAGTTTTCTTTTTTGTACTTTAACTATATGCTATGTACATTTGTATCAGCCACACAGCTCAAATTAATAAGTTTCTATCCATGCAGAGTTCTTCTCAGCATTTACTGCTACTATTGATGGATAAGCAAACATTGTATTATGTAATCGACGTGCTTTTGATTTTAATAAAACATTTTGACAATGAAATCTTGTACTTATTATCTGGTCATAGAATAACCTACGTATTTATCGAAATTAGATAGCCAAACATAACCTGTATTTTAAATATATTTTATTTAAGATTGTCAAAAAACACTTCACGTACTAGAAAACTTTGGTATAAAATTTTCACAAAGCACCATTGTATTACGTTACGTGTAAACTTGTGACCATCGGCAAAATATTACTTCACATTATTACATCGAGTATTTCACCAAAATAACAGCATCCTGCTAAGCACTAAACATGAAAAAAAATTAAATATACAAAGCTAGAGTCGTTGCGTTCCATTTTCACCTTGCTATAAAGGCCAAAAATCACTTCTGACCAAAAATATATATTTATATACGTGTATATACAAAGAAAAAATCCTACGACCATGCAATGCCTAGATCTACAGGTACTGTATTACTTATATGAAATATGGTAATAAAATCCAACACTATGCATACTCTCTGAACTAGAAAAACCACACATATTGTTCTTCTTTGCTTGCTCTCACAATATGATAAATAGTCATGTGAATGACTGAATGTTTTGCAAATAATAATAATAAACAAAGTTCAAAAGCCAAATCAAAACTGAAAACACATGCTAAATGTAAAACCAAAAATGAAAATGTTATCAAATAGGAAACAAAACTTTCCGCATTCAAGGACAAATTAATGTCTTAATAAATCAAATTAAAACACAAACACAAAATTCATACTGAAGGAAATATTGCAATTCAAATGCTGATCCAAACCATGAACAAAACATATTTTAAAAATTTTTTTAAATGGGCTTAAGATGTTTGTTGATATTCAAGGAGGTGTATCAAATCCTTGCATTACAGCGTCTGTAAGTACATGTGCCACTTTCATCTGACAGACAAAACAGCACCAACTAGTAAAAATAAATACAATCTGAGATCAATGGGGAAGTCTTATCAGAACCTTTTCTCCAGTAAAATATTCACTCCTATGAATATAGTTTCCTATAAAACAAGTCTCAAATAAACAGACCTAGACAGAGCACAGACATGACCAGCATTATATAAAAACTGTGTGAGGCTGTTCCTCATCATCACCATGTTCACCATCTTCTATTGGAACAACCCTGCTGGGTGGCCTGTCTTGTAACTCCATGGCTTCTCCTGGCTCCCCATCAGCACCGGCGCCATCTACACCATCATCATCACTCTCACCACACAGTTCATACAGGTCATTGACCCCAAGGCAGATCATCATAATGTTCTTGATGAGGAAGACGGAGATGTCCTGGCTCAGCAGGTGCCATAGGTACATGCGGATGGTTAAGAAGGGCACATTGACCAGAAGTATGTGGGATAAAGTGTATATGAACTGGAATCCTCTGGACAACGGACGCTCTCCATAGAAACTCTGACTCAGGACTACAAAGCAAAAACCTACAGAAAAAATAAATAATACAATGATTCATTTTGTAATTTTATATTTCAGTTAGTATGTTTCGATTACAATTCTGGGATCCCTGGATCATTAAAAAAGCAAAGAAGACAAACTTTAAATTTCCATGTCCCATGCATAATAAACAAATACTTCAAAATTTAATACCTAATGCTTAAGAAAAGAAACACTTCAAATTTTCATATAATGTCAAAAATCAAATGAAAATATAACTATTTTTTCTATTACTTCTTTATGGCTTGCCTATGGGCCATGGCACTAACACAAAACTCACAAGCTTCAACTTTAAACCACTGTACCTGGGATAATGAGATTAATGCAGGGAAAAGCTATGATAAAATCCTCCAAAGTGAATGGCAAAACAAGCCTTGACTCCTGCACAAACAATATCTCCAGAAACTCAACACTGTCTAGGATATCAAACGGCACCACATTCACCAAGGTCTCTATATAATGTTTTCTCTCCTGCGTCTGTTTCTTATTGTGCTGACTCAGCACCATGAGCAGGAAAATCGGAGCAGTCAATGCCAGAGCTGTTTTCAGAAAGTTTGGACCAAGGATGTCTTTTTCATCCAGCCCTGCGGCTATATGTTTGAAGATTAGGGCAACACGGGGGACCATGAGCCCAGAGTAAGTGAACCAGGCTATGTACCCCAGGGGGAGGAGACCCAGAACACGCCCTTGGATCAAATGTGACTCTGGCTCCATCTTGTTATGTTTAGTCCTCTTATAGTACTTCCCAGCCACCACAAATGCTGCAATGAACACAGTGGCCGTGCCGAGATCGGCCACAAACCACCAGTACCAGTTCCCCCCATAGTGGAGGAAGAGGAAGGCGTCTAGAAGAGCGCCCTGCAGAAGCACCAGTAGAAGGCTGAATATTCTAGTGGGGACTGGCTGGATCCTGTCACACACTTCATAGAAGACTTTTCTTCTTGGCATCCTGTTGTTCTAAACCTAAGTGATAAAATTAGCATAATGAAGAGCTCGGTGCATTAAAAAAAATGTCTGAATCAAACTTTCCTAATTACTATCTGCTACTTGAACATTTGTACATGTGATACAAATCATGTTACAGTTTAGATGACATCAATTCATGTGTTCAATGTGTACCCTGCAGAACATACAACAGGGTAACAGAATAAGTTGAACATACTGTCAGTCTGTTCACAAACTCAAAATCGTACTGTACACTATACAGGTAAGTACGGAACCTGTATAGTGGAGTTGTTTTATTTGATGCTATCTCTCTTTCGTGTACGTGTGTGTGTGTGTGTGTGTGTGTGTGTGTGTGTGTGTGTGTTACTGTGAGTCCAAAGAGGGGAGCCTACTGGATCAGCAACTTTTATTATGTACCTGAAAAGCACTAGACAACAGTTTTATCTTCACATATACTGACACACATGTATCAAGAACATCAGGAACTGCAGTGCAGACTACATGTACATGTACTGTACAGTATGTATGTAGTGTCGATCGAGAAAGAGATAGGGAGTACTTGTCTAAGCAGATTTCAGAGAAAAGAAGGAAATATTCACGATATTAACAGAAGTTTGCTGTTTCGGTTTTGCCTCACCTCCAATATTATACAGCATATAATGAAGTATTTTTCCCTTTACATTGCCACCGGCCTTACCGCGCTTTGACCGCACTGAACTATACCGGATGTTAACTTTCCGCCCTCCAAACAGTAAAGATCCCTGGAAGACGGTCAGCACTAGATCATAGACGGCAGCGGGACGGAAGGGAGAAATCCAACATGGCGGCCCCCAGCGCCGCCGAGACATTGCCTCTGGCCGTTTGCCGATTTTCGTCCATGGATGAGATGCTACGGGCGTTTGAGTTCTACAAAGACGAAACTCGAAGTTCATGGCGGTGTTGTAAAACGGAGAAAACGTTTGGTAATCACAATAATTTAATGAATAATCACATCGGTAAAACCTTCATTACCATGTTTAAATCAATTAAAAAACTTCTATCATTCATCTATCAACATAAAGCAGGCCCTAAGTTCAGTGAGGCTGACCTTTTGTCAAAATTTGGCCCACTGCTGGTAGGTCCTGATCTGATGATTGTTAAATGGACTAATTATTTTGTTGATTGATTGACTGATCGCCTATCAATGTCAGATTGAATGTGTTTGTTTACCTACTACACACTTTAGCTAATTATGTTTGCTTGTTTGCATTTTGACTCACAAATAACGATTTTGACTGGATGGCAGAAAAGTACATGTACATTGTAGTTAGCCCTATTGTATTTTCCCTAAGGCCACACTTTTTATTTTTATGGATGACATTCTCTGGGGACCCCGACATCGGTGCAAGAGGGGAAAAAAACAGTCCAAAGGAAAAAAAATACTGCTCAAGTAAAGGGAATGCTGACAATTATATACAGCTGGAAACACAAATTTCACCACAGAAACATGTATCAAACACACTAACAATATCACTTTATCCATGCTCTCAAAATATTAGAGCATTGTGAATACTTCATAACATAAAAAGGTAAAAAAAGTCATGAATACATATGCTGCATTTTACCAAATCTATTTAAGGTTACTTTATGTATTTTGTTGGTATACCAACCGACTTCGTTGGGTGTTTTTTTTTTTCTTTTTTTTTTTTTGTCGAACGGGCGAAAAATTGGTGTGTGCGCAGGATTTCATCCATAAAAAATAAAAAAAGTGTGGCCCTACTAATCTAAATTTTCTATTTTCTTGACATTGTAGGAACCCCTGCTCACAATATGTTCAAGGATAACAGGCAAATAAAATTGCTAAAATGGTCTATAACAGCAGAGAGAGGAATCAGTGTCCCATTTAGTGGAATTCCCTTCATCTTCTTGGGCACAAAACTGTGGACCTGTCATCAGGGTCCAGATTTGGATGCCAAGGTGAAAGAAAATAGAAAGAAAAAGAAAGAACAGCAACAGGTATTTATTATTTTCTTTTTTGTTCCTACATTTATTTTTTTATCCTTTGTATTTCTGAGATTGAAATCAGGGAAGAAAACTTCCTTTAGGGCTTCCTTTAAGTTAAAGGGGCTCTTTCCGATATAGACGGTTATATAGCATTAAAAAAAAATTATCTGAAACTTTGTCTATTTTCTCATGAACCCCAAGGTATACCTCACCTGAAACAGTTGAGAAAATAAAGATCAAGTGATAGGTTTTTGAGATTGCCTAAGGAAAAAAAGTGCAGCATTTTTTTTTTTCATCTCCACTTCTCACCATTGCTTTCCTACGCGTGGAATTCTGGGACTTTTTAAATTGCCATCTGCCACGAAGGTCAATTTTGCTTTAGATCATGACCTCCATATGTTACAAAAAGTTTGAATTATGTTTCATTTTTGCTGATATCAGAAAGAGCCCTTTTAATCTTTCAAAAAGTACAGAAAATGTTCTTTTACCGTTTTAATAGTTTTTGCTGAAACTCCTGGTCATACAAAATTTAAAAAATATGTCCAAATCAAAGTTTTTTCAACCAAATGGTGAAGGTGTCAGCATTTGGCGAGTGAACAGCCACAGAGTAAGTCCTGACCTGATCTTTAACAATTATTAATAATTAATATCTGTTAGGTTATTATCTTGTGAGGCATGCAATAATGAAGGTTAATACCTTATCAATTCACTTATTGGACCTGGACATTGCATTTGTTTTGTTTGTTCTACTTTACAGGAAAAGGACCATAGTTTCATCAAAAGAAGAAAATTAAAACAGGATTCAAAAAAAGTAGACTGTCCAGCTATGGTGTATATGACACACTTATTGTACTTTCCTGAATATAAGGTGGGTGTTAACATTCATTAAGTATGACAAAAAGAAGCAGATTTATCAGTAGGAATGGAATTTTAAAATGTGCTAATTTATTCATTCTTATAGATTGATGGAAATAAGGAACGATTAAGAAAATCTATGTCCAAACATCTGAGAGATCACCTGTCATCTGGTAAAAAGGTCGGAGCAGAAGAGGCTTTCTATCTAAAATTACCTCATCCTTCCTGCCATGAGAGGCATCCAGTGCATGGTGTGGTCAGTATAAATAATAATAATAAGTAAAGTTGTCATTTACATCTTAGAAAAATTATCTCAATATGATATTATTTCAATTTTTTTTAATATTTAGTAGTTAGCAAATATAGAAATTTTAATCAAGTTCTGGTTTTAATGTAAAATAAATGCCACAAGTTCCGCTTCAGTTCACCTAATGAAGACCTTGTGACAAGGTGGAAACATCGTGGCACTCCTTTCACGAATTACNTTTATAGTTAACACCCACTTTGAACGGTCTATACCTTCAGCAGGGAAAATTGTGATGTTTCTTGCTTAAGGGGGGCGTTTAGCCCCGGTCTACCCTACTGCTCAAGTAAAGAGAATGCTGACAATTATATACAGCTGGAAACACAAATTTTACCACAGAAACACGTATCAAACACTAACAATATCACTTTATCCATGCTCTCAAAATATTAGAGCATTGTGAATACTTCATAACATAAAAAGGTAAAAAAGTCATGAATACATATGCTGCATTTTACCAAATCTATTTAAGGTTACTTTATGTATTTTGTTGGTACCAACCGACTTCGTTGTTTTTTTTTTTTTTTTTTTTGTCTAACGGATGAAAATCGGCGCGCGCGCAGGATATCATCCACAAAAAGTAAAAAAAAGTGTGGCCCTACTAGTCTAAATTTTCTATTTTCTTGACATTGTAGGAACCCCTGCTCACAATATGTTCAAGGATAATTGGCAAATAAAATTGCTAAAATGGTCTATAACANTTTTTTTGTCTAACGGATGAAAATCGGCGCGCGCGCAGGATATCATCCACAAAAAGTAAAAAAAAGTGTGGCCCTACTAGTCTAAATTTTCTATTTTCTTGACATTGTAGGAACCCCTGCTCACAATATGTTCAAGGATAATTGGCAAATAAAATTGCTAAAATGGTCTATAACAGCAGAGAGAGGAATCAGTGTCCCATTTAGTGGAATTCCCTTCATCTTCTTGGGCACAAAACTGTGGACCTGTCATCAGGGTCCAGATTTGGATGCCAAGGTGAAAGAAAATAGAAAGAAAAAGAAAGAACAGCAACAGGTATTTATTATTTTCTTTTTTGTTCCTACATTCATTTTTTTTATCCTTTGTATTTCTGAGATTGAAATCGGGGAAGAAAACTTCCTTTAGGGCTTCCTTTAAGTTAAAGGGGCTCTTTCCAATATAGACGGTTATATAGCATTAAAAAAAAATTATCTGAAATTTCGTCTATTTTTTCATGAACCCCAAGGTATACCTCACCTGAAACAGTTGAGAAAATAAAGATCAAGTGATAGGTTTTTGAGATTGCCTACGGAAAAAAAGTGCAGCATTTTTTTTTTTTTCGTCTCCACTTCTCACCATTGCTTTCCTACGCGTGGAATTCTGGGACTTTTTAAATTGTCATCTGCCACGAAGGTCAATTTTGCTTTAGATCATGACCTACATATGTTACAAAAAGTTTGAATTATGTTTCATTTTTGCTGATATCAGAAAGAGCCCCTTTAATCTTTCAAAAAGTACAGAAAATGTTCTTTTACCGTTTTAATAGTTTTTGCTGAAACTCCTGGTCATACAAAAATTAAAAAATATGTCCAAATCAAAGTTTTTTCAACCAACTGGTGAAGGTGAAGATCTTTAACAATTATTAATAATTAATATCTATTAGGTCTTTATCTTGTGAGGCATGCAATAATGAAGGTTAATACCTTATCAATTCACTTATTGGACCTGGACATTGCATTTGTTTTGTTTGTTCTACTTTACAGGAAAAGGACCATAGTTTCATCAAAAGAAGAAAATTAAAACAGGATTCAAAAAAAGTAGACTGTCCAGCTATGGTGTACATGACACACTTATTGTACTTTCCTGAATATAAGGTGGGTGTTAACATTCATTAGGTATGACAAAAAGAAGCAGATTTATCGGTAGGAATGGAATTTTAAAATGTGCTTATTTATTCATTCTTATAGATTGATGGAAATAAGGAACGATTAAGAAAATCTATGTCCAAACATCTGAGAGATCATCTGTCATCTGGTAAAAAGGTCGGAGCAGAAGAGGCTTTCTATCTAAAATTACCTTATCCTTCCTGCCATGAGAGGCATCCAGTGCATGGTGTGGTCAGTATAAATAATAATAATAAGTAAAGTTGTCATTTACATCTTAGAAAAATTATCTCAATATGATATTATTTCATTTTTTTAAATATTAAGTAGTTAGCAAATATAGAAATTTTAATCAAGTTCTGGTTTTAATGTAAAATAAATGCCACAAGTTTTGCTTCAGTTCACCTAATGAAGACCTTGTGACAAGGTGGAAACATCGTGGCACTCCTTTCATGAATTACCTTCAGTCCACCAAATACCACAACGCTCTTGTCGACCCTTTTTTACCAATATGGCTGCTGACCCAACAATATAAAAGTCTCGCCGATTTGTTGAGTTTTATCTACGATATTACTTTTATAGTAATGTAGTTTGCTTTTATATCACCCTAGTTTGTTGGAAATGGACGTTTCTTTTGTGTGACTGCAACTGAACTTGTTTTTTCAAGTGTATTGCGCTGTATTGCAGTGTATTGCGCATTTCAGTCATACCGCTTTTTTCGCTACAAAAAATCTGGTATGTGCTGCTTTGGACAGAATGTCACTGAAATTTTCCGGGCGATGATCGCTGGCCGCGGCCAGCCTTTCGTATAATTGTAAAANGGGGGGGGGGGTGGGTCCTTTTTTTTGGAGAACGGACGAAAATCGGTGCGCAGGATGTCATCCATAAAAATAAAAAAGTGTGGCGTAAGATCCAATACTTGATTTAGATTTCTTTATTTTCTAATCTCAAGTATGGTTGGATTAATAATAACATTCATTTCTATATTTCAGAGGTGCCTGGAATTATCAATATCGGCTGGTAAATTTTTTGTCTACTGTGTTATTCTCATAATCATAATCATAATGGTGTTGGCAATAATCACTTATGCATAGTATTTTAACCTTCATATCCCTTTTCCTTCTCCACCACTTGCTATAATGGCTAATCTCACGAAATCATTGCACATTTTTAAAATGCAGAGTCAAGACAGTAGTTTACTGACAATTTACACGTATTTAAATTTTAAGTAAACCCTTTCATATTATTCATTGTGTTGTGTAATTTAATGAACTACCTGCTGTGAATGCTTTAAGATATATCAGTGTGGCACTTATGTTCCAAAAATCTTTAGATATGTACACTGTAAAAACAGTGTTTAGCTCTGAGACACATTTCTAAGCGCCTGTTTTGTCTCATTTTTTCCACGCGTTTAGCACCTAAGCACGTTTAGCCTATTAACATGTTACACGCTTTGACGTGCTTGACGCCTAATAAATGTAGGGTGTATTTGTCTAACTTTAAGGTTGTAAGGTTTTTATCTGTTTCAGTCACTCTCTCTCTCTCTCTCTCTCTCTCTCTCTCACACACACACACACACACACACGCGCGCGCGCGAAGTCACGGTCACCTTTAACTGCTGTTGTTATCTCTATCTATAACAGGGTACCTTGAAAAGTCAACATAGTTGATTCACACCATCATCTTTACAGCGGGACTTATTCATCCTTGTGTTAGCTGACCTTGCGAGGAAGTTAAGTGGAATATATTTCTGAAAAACAAGTTAGGAAAATTCACTAGTTTACTAAAGACACGAAACAACTATCACTTTTACTTTAAAACATTTTTTTTCATATTTTGATAAAATGCGTCAAGGTATTGATGTTCATTTATTTTTTCCGGAAGTAATGAACAATAGAACATCAGGATGATGGTGGGGTATTCATTATAATGGTTTATTTAAGCTTTCATCACATGCTGGTTATTTTGGTAACGATAGTCCGAATATTTTTCAAGTCGCACCGCTCTAGTCGCCGACTAACCCAAGCCCATTTTGGAATTAACCGCTAACTGTAATTCATACAGCATAAGACGTGTTTTGGTGATTAAAAAAAAAGTTTTCAAAACATTAAATAATTTTTTTCCAGAATGTTATAAAACGCTTCTAAAACTGCAAGGGCATCATTTTGCATGGAGTTAAAAACACCCATAACGTTACCATAACGTTATTTTATACCATCACCATCATGTAACCAGCTGATAAAGTCGTGAAAACGTTATTTGTTATTTGGATTATTACTTAATAGGCCTATTTTAAATAATCACACGTTACTGCAAGGAAGGACACAACGCGTTCGAGCAGGCTGCTTCTCGCCTCCAACAGCCCCATATGTTTACAAGGGGAAGTGTTAAGCAAAATTGTTGAGTCTTGTAATAAACTTGTTATGGGATCGTATATATGGGATTGTGAAGCATTTTTTTCTGTGACGAGCTTGAAAAGCTAAACATGTTGTTTAGCAGCTCCACGCGTTAAGGAATTCCACACCTAAAGCAGCTCCATATGTTTAGCAGCCTCACGCGCTTAGCAGGGGAAGTGCTTAGCCAATGTGCTTAGCTTGTGATAGACTTGTTATAGAATCATATGTCGGTGAAGCTAAACACATAGCTAAACGTGTAACAATGCCAACGTGTCTAGCTTTTTCTTCTGTGAAACGTTTGAAAAGCTATACGCGTTTAGCATTTACACAGATTTCTAAATGCATATAGGTGCCTAACGTGTGTTGTATGTATTTAAATGCTAAACACTGTTTTTACAGTGTATGGTCTATATCAGTAAAAGTCGAAGCATGCTTGGTCAGACATTTCAAAAGATTATTCCTAGGTTATTTATCTGCTTTTATAGATGTGGGGTGTTGTGTTTGTAGCCTACATATTATACTTTTTAATATCTATTTCGTTTGCTTTGTAAATGGTGATGGTGCTTCATGTGCATGTAATGTTTGCGTATGTAAATGATTTACACCCTGAGATTCAGAGGTCATTTGAAACTATCCTCTTCTCTCTACTACATCCTTGTCGTTTTAAATTACCTCTGACTGTTTTTGATTTGAGCTGGTTTGAACTAACCAAATGAAGCCATGTTTTCACAATTTTCACCAAGGTTTGGAGAAAAGGCTGATTGGTTGAAAGTCCAGAAATATGTCCTATGAAAATGAGTGGGTTTGTTTATTTGTTGCACAACTTATTTCATATTTGAACAAACCGTGCACTGACTCGTTTCCATCAGTTGTTTAGATCGTTCAATGCGGGAGGGTTTTTTTTATTTGACTGACGGGCAGTCCTCTCTGTTCTTGCCAGAGATAGCTTGAAACAACAAGGGTATCTGCTGTAGTATAGAGGTATGTTTCAAGCTATCTCTGAAGCTCTGGCTGAATATTTCCAACCAAATAAATTGCCATATCAATAACTCTTTTATTTAGGCTGCAAAATTTCCAGTTATGTACATCAGCCAGAAACTGCAGCTAGTGGTGGAAGTCCTCTCTCTGACCAACCTTTTGATGTAGAAAAAGAAAAGTGTGCAGACGAGACAACAGCCAGTGCTTCTATTGATAGTCAATCTCCAAAGAAAGTCTTCAAAGACCTCCCAAGTCGTAAAAGGAAATCACGTTCTGCTAGTATGAGAGAGAAGTGCCTTTCATATTTGAAGTCAATGATTGATCAAATATACCTCATACAAGATGAAGATGTCCTTGCTGAGTATGAAGTGAGATTACAGGTATTGTTAGAAGAACTGGGAGGACATGTACCAACTCTGAACAAGCTACCAAGGAAGAACAGAACCCCTTAAAAGAAAAAAAGCTGCTATTGCCATTAAGAGAAAGTATGCAGCAATGCCAAGAAGAACCTTTGGAAAGAAAAGTAATAAATTCACAAACAGAGTTGGGAAGAAGGCAGAAAAAATGAAGATATCCTTCAAAGTTCCCATTTCCATTGCAGAAGAAAAAATGGAGAATATCTGGCATTTGGAGTTGCAGGCTTAAATAGCACATTAATGATGTCACATACCAATCTTTCCTACCCAACCTGCAGAAGTAGAGGCCGTACAGTGCCACCACATTGGTCAACACTGGGTTAAATTCGTTGTGTCTTCATCTATAGGTGGATGCATTACAGTTTAAGAGTCTCTGTCAACCAATATCAATTTTTCCCTCCGCCAGCAGCTTGTGCCCCTATACAAATTATATTCAAACCATGATGGTCTTCTTACTGTCAAAGTTGTTTGCCCACAAATGCAGATAGGGCAATCTGACTGTGGACTGTTTGCTATTGCCAATGCCACATCTCTTCTCTTAGGTGACAATCCTAAGAATGTTACTTGGGTCCAGTCAGAGATGAGGTCTCACCTTTTGAAGTGCTTTAACGAGAGTCAGAAACTGACTTTATTTCCCTGTGAAAGACCCTCAACTCAGAGACATAGTGCACAAGAAATGGTTCATAAGTGTGTACTGTAAGTGTTTGACCCACCGTCCTGGGGCACCAGTGATAAGATGTATCAACTGTTATAACTTCTATCATTACATGTGTATAAGAATAGATGCCAAGTCTGCTGCTACGCTAGTCACCAATAACTCCTATACTTGTGATGATTGTAAAAGAAAACTCAAGTAACTGCAAGCAGAGCAACAAATTACCGGGTAGCGGTTGGCTACTGACGGCAGCTATCATCAAAAATTAAAAAAATTAAACGAGACTTACCTGTAAGGTGAAGTTTGATTGTAATTCTACCACCCGAAAGTTGTATATAGAGATAACGTGAGATGCACAAAGCTTCCCAGAGGTCAATATTGGACGCGAATGGCCAGGTGAATAGATGTGGTCTGGAGAGAACTGTTATGTTATATGAATAATGCGAAAGTTGCAATAGAGATAAAGGGAGGGGAGGGCAGGGCACGTTATCTCTATATGCAACTTTCGGGTGGTAGAATTACAATCAAACTTCACCTTACAGGTAAGTCTCGTTTAATTTTTTAATTCTACCACCCTCATTTGCATATGAGATCACGTGAGATTTTAAAGTTCACCTGGCTATGAGCATAAACAGTGAACAGATCATGAACAATCTAGATGGATTAGCATATATTGTTTATTATAGTAACTACTTCATAATAGTTTTAGCAAATGAAATTACATGAGAGTCTACAATGTCTTTGCTATAGAATTTCCCAAAAGTCCCACAATTGCTCCAACCTGCAGTTTTCATAATAGTTTCAAGTGGGACACATTTAATCTTGGCTTTACTTGCCGCTGCAGCTCTTGTACTGTGAGCTGAAAATTGTGTTGTGTCAATTCCTGACAAAGACAGTACATCTTTAATCCATCTAGATATAGTACTTTTAGTGACTGGTTGATACGGCTTTACTAAGCTTAAAAACAAGTTTGAAGATT